CAGAAAGTTCTGGTTGTTCGTCCACTTTTGGACTGCAGTCCTGTTCCAGAACATGAGTGTTGCGTGTACTTCCATTTGGCAGATCTGAATAATTTGTATGTAAACTGTTGATTCCTTGCCTCTCAGGCAGATGTACGACTTCAAAGAAAGCTCCTAATTAGTTGGCTCTTACGACATGCTTTTTGGGTAGGCAGTGAGTCTATTCTTGTTTTCCCTATAATAGGGCCCCAGAACCCACATGGGGAGTTATGTTATTCAATGATTGTCACTGCACATTGGACACTTCCATACGTGCTCAGTCCTCCAATGCAGTAGCCACTCCAGGATACTTCCAGTGATTGTTCCGATTAGTAGTTGATTATAATGTGTGCTATTTCTGTCTCAGAGGGGGCATAGACGTGCTTTACAGTGCTAGGTGGTATAGACATGCTTTACAGTGCTAGATGGTATAGACATACTTTACAGTGCTAGATGGCATAGACATGCTTTACAGTGCTAGGTGGTATAGACATGCTTTACAGTGCTAGATGGTATAGACATGCTTTACAGTGCTAGGTGGTATAGACATGCTTTACAGTGCTAGGTGGCATAGACATGCTTTACAGTGCTAGATGGCATAGACATGCTTTACAGTGCTAGGTGGCATAGACATGCTTTACAGTGCTAGGTTGCATAGACATGCTTTACAGTGCTAGGTGGCATAGACATGCTTTACAGTGCTAGGTGGCATAGACATGCTTTACAGTGCTAGGTGGTATAGACATGCTTTACAGTGCTAGATGGTATAGACATGCTTTACAGTGCTAGGTGGCATAGACATGCTTTACAGTGCTAGGTGGCATAGACATGCTTTACAGTGCTAGGTGACATAGACATGCTTTACAGTGCTAGGTGGCATAGACATGCTTTACAGTGCTAGGTGGCATAGACATGCTTTACAGTGCTATGTGGCATAGACATGCTTTACAGTGCTAGGTGGCATAGACATGCTTTACAGTGCTAGGTGGCATAGACATGCTTTACAGTGCTAGGTGGCATAGACATGCTTTACAGTGCTAGGTGGCATAGACATGCTTTACAGTGCTAGGTGGCATAGACATGCTTTACAGTGCTAGGTGGTATAGACATGCTTTACAGTGCTAGATGGCATAGACATGCTTTACAGTGCTAGGTGGCATAGACATGCTTTACAGTGCTAGGTGGTATAGACATGCTTTACAGTGCTAGGTGGCATAGACATGCTTTACAGTGCTAGATGGCATAGACATGCTTTACAGTGCTAGGTGGCATAGACATGCTTTACAGTGCTAGGTGGCATAGACATGCTTTACAGTGCTACGTGGTATAGACATGCTTTACAGTGCTAGGTGGTATAGACATGCTTTACAGGGCTAGGTGGTATAGACATGCTTTACAGTGCTAGGTGGCATAGACATGCTTTACAGTGCTAGGTGGCATAGACATGCTTTACAGTGCTAGGTGGCATAGACATGCTTTACAGTGCTAGGTGGCATAAACATGCTTTACAGTGCTAGGTGGCAGAGACATGCTTTACAGTGCTAGATGGCATAGACATGCTTTACAGTGCTAGGTGGTATAGACATGCTTTACAGTGCTAGGTGGCATAGACATGCTTTACAGTGCTAGGTGACATAGACATGCTTTACAGTGCTTTACTCTCAGGCCACACAGTCTTGTTAGTGTAAGAGATTCGTCATTATCTATTAGCCCAGTCTGTTGATAATACCTACTTTGTCCATGCTTTTTCCAGCATGCGTTGTTGCATAGCCTGCTAGTTGATCTACTCCTTCATTACCTTTCATGCCAGCATGACTAGGTGTGTAGATCCAGGTGATGGAGGTTAAGTGCAATTTTTTTTTTTTTACCCATTCAGAGCGCATACCACCAATAGTTGAGGCAGAAGTGGAAGCATTGGTGGAGGAACACACATCACCGGAAGATCCTTTTTATATACAGATAGTTCTGTGATTCGTCAGAAGTGAAGTGCATGAGCTTTCATTTCAAGAACTGAAGGAAACGTCATATGTTGGGAGCATCTCACATCGAATGCTAATTGGTCCATATGGTGTTAAGAACATCTCACATCTAAAGCTAATTGGTCTATGTGGTGTTGGGAATATCTCCTATCGAATGCTAATTGGTCTTTAACAACACATATCCAGCACCAATCATTCTCAGCTTTATCATGACGTCAATCATCCTCAGCTTTATCATCAACTCAGTCATCATCAGCTTTATCATGAGTTAAGTCATCATCAGCTTTATCATAAACTCAGTCATCCTCAGCTTTATCTTGAGTTCAGTCATCATCAGCTTTATCATCAACTCAGTCTTCCTCAGCTTTATCATGAGTTCAGTCATCATCAGCTTTATCATCAACTCAGTCATCCTCAGCTTTATCATGAGTTCAGTCATCATCAGCTTTATCATTACCTCAGTCATCTTCAGCTTTATCATGCGTTCAAGTCATCATCAGCTTTATCATTACCTCAGTCATCCTTAGCTTTATCATTACCTCAGTCATCCTCAGCTTTATCATCACAGCAGTCATCAGCTTTATCATCATGTCAGTCATCATAAGTTTTATCATGAGTTCAGTCATCCTCAACTTTATCATCACCTCATTTATCATCAACCAATTCTTTACCTATATAATCAACTTAGTCTTCATCTCAATCATCACATTACCATCAGCTTTATCACCACCACCACGGTTATTATCAGCTTTATCACCATTTCAATCATTAATAATTTTGTCTTTACCTTAGTCACTGGCAACTTTTATCATCATTCAGTCATTGTTATTTGTGTAGGCTTAAGCTCCTCTCATTGTTTTCATCTATACTCCAGCACTATTGATGTTATGATTTTATTGGGATCTCTTGTTTTTCAGCATAGCCATCTTTTTCAAAATAATCCCCCGTTTTTTTTTGTTTTTGTTTTAACTATTATCACTATTTAGAACCCCTATCCCACTACACATACAGCTGAATGGTTCTGGTCTGATCAAATTAGATAATTTAAAAATCTAGGAAGTGTGATCACGAAAGATCGCAGAATTGACAGAGAAAAACAAGCCATATGTCAGAAAGCAGGTGCACTTATATACCAATTGTCACCATTATTAAGACATCCATTCCAACATTATTAAGACATCCATTCCAACATTAAGCTACCAGAGCCAAACATGGACACTGTCTAAAGTCCATGTATGCAAAATCACCATTTTCGTGAGGCGATGCCTGAGAAAAGCCGCCAACCTAACCATCCGAGGTCGAGTGAATAATGATGCTATCAGATAAATTGTCGGAACGACACCTTGTACTAGATTCATTGAGAAACAGCAGACCAGGTGGTTTTGCCATCTCATTATAATGCAGCAAGATCAAATACCGTCACAAGCGCTACATCTCAGAAGATCAGCTACAAGAGCAAGAGGACAGCTGCAAAAAATATGGATCGACATTAGAGACACTCTACGCCTTCACGGCTTTCAATATTCAGCTGCAGCCGGTGTGCACTGGATCGCAAATTATTCCTCCCCATGACGCTTAATGGCAGAAGTGGTTTATGATGATGAAGATGCTATCAGCATTTTGTTTATCATCATCAATCAGTTAGGTGCAGTCTCAACAGGGAAGGGGGTCACCATGGATTTTCAACAACTCTTTCCTCCTTTCTTGATTGATTGTACACTGTATCAGATTGATGTTTGTCCAACTCTTAGTGTTGTCTTCCCGTTTATAGTGCTATCTATCTCTTGCTTCTTTGCCTTCTTTTCCCTCTGGTATATTTTTCTGTCTGTCAGTATTGCCAGAATATTTAACTTGTCTCCATATTATTTCTTTTATCAACTCTCTTTTCATTGTCAGTCTCTGCCAGAAATCAACATCAGCCACACCTTCATATAAAATGGCTTCTTCTTCTTCTGCTCTGGTCCAGTTGTGCCTTTCAGCATCAGGTTTTGAAGAGGCTTGGGTTTGTACCTTAGTATGTGCCACAAGATGCTAATATTTATGGCCTCACATTTAAATACCATCAGTGTTTTTTCCTTGAGAACAAATGCTAGAAAGTTGTAAATCAGGGTCGGTGAATTAAAGCAAGTGTTCTTTTAATTAGAGAGTGGCTAGAATTCTGAACACTTGTGTGCAAGACCCACGTTCAAATCCTCTGTAAGGTGAAGGATGTTTTCTCTGTCAGGGATGGAAGTAAACATCCTAATCTGCACAGTTTGTGGTGACTGCAATAACCATGCTGAATACATTGCTTTTCTATGCCCTCACTGTACATATGATGTATAAAGATCCATAATTGGGCTGCTACCTAAAGAGTTTGACACCCTGAGATCAGAAGATATCAGTATGGGTGGCAAACCGATAAACATGAAGATTGGACACAGTGGGACTAAAGAATATCAGTGCTGGTTGCAGACAAACACGGCAAGTCCAGACACCTGGTTCAGCCTGCAAGTAAGTTAGGGCACTAGCTAGGTATAACTTGCAGTTCTGTGCAGGTAAGAGATGATACATTAGGCAAGACAATTTTAGAAATCAGAAAAAGAATGGTCTTAAGTTATTTCTGGGCAATCTGAGATTTTAAAAATCTCCAATCTGGCATACCAGATCATGGGTACCTCTTTCAACCTCCAAAAAGGTTATAGTTTGGTCAAACGTAATGGTTTTACCAGCCAGATGTAACCTGCAATCCTGTGCAGGTGAGCAGTTTATGTCTTGACTTATATAACAGCGATAAACATCCAGTGATTTTTGGTGCCACCATGCAGATGAGGATCACCTGTGGAGAAGTTCCAGAAATCCTGTTCAGCCATTGGGTTATATTAGGGCTCCCGGCAACAGCTGAAGTGGGGTTTAAAAGTAATGAAAAAGTCTGTTCCCAAAGGGGACGTTAGAAACATGCATTGTGCTGCTTGATTCATTAATAAATACCATTATAATTATCAAATTTGTTTCTCATTTCAGTATGCAACTTTGTCGTACATGATCGCTGTCTGAAAACGGTGGTCTCCCCTTGCTCTAGTATTGCAATCAGTCTTATCAAAGTAAGTTAATATATTTTGTTTATCTCCTCTTCCTCTATTATCCAAGTCTTATCAGCGTAAATTCGTCTTGTAGTTTGTTTGTCTCCCCTTCTGTTATTACAGCCAGTTTAAATAAAGTGAGTTTGTATTACATTTTATCTCCCCATGAACTTCTATTGCAACTAGTCTTGTGAAATAAGTTAATGTTAGTTTTTCTCCTTATATTTTTTAATATTTCAACTAAAATTAGTATAGTACTTTTGGCACTTTCTGTTGGTATGTTTGCATCTCTCCAAATAAAAGTGAAGCTATAGGGAAGCATGGGAGTAACAGCCCGTGACGATGGCGAATTTGAATAGCAAAACATGCTCACATTCGGAAGTCTTCCTTAATTAGAGCATGTAATTTCAGGACCGTTTTTGTTGTCCTCATTGTATTTTAACATGCAAAGTTTGTTTTTATAGTCATTTTACATCTCCCCTTACTCTTGTAACTGTGAACCTGCACAGTGCTGTAGAGTACTCCATGGTAGTTTTTGCAGGATGCGTCCCAATGTCGGACCCAATTTTATGTTGTTTTAAAGACCCAATCTGGCTGTTGCCGGGGGCCCTAATATAACCCAACCTATAGGTTGAACAGGGTTTCTGAGACCTGTCCCTGGGTGATTCTCATCAGAATGGTGGCACTTTGTGTCACCGGGTGTTTATCGCTTGGTGTGATATCCTGGTGGGGTTGAACATCAGTCAGCCAAGGTTTCTTTGTGTAGCCATTATGGGTGTCCTAATTATAACTTCTTTAGGTTGAATAAGATATCTGGAATTTGCCGTTTTGAATTGGCACCCAGGATGTGACTATTTTAGTTGCAAGTCTGTGAGACCTTCATGTGGCAACCAAATGGGGAAAACCGTCAGTTAGTTATATCTGTAGTCCTCATTTTCATTAATTTTATGGTTACTGTTTTCTTCTCTATCCCTGTTTTACCTTTTATTGTCAGATAAAAAAAAGACATCTTTTCATACATGCTAATATTTGTAGCCTCAGATATTATACTGATCCCTCATTGGATGACCTCTTGTTGTTTAAATCTGATATATTAATAAACTAGCTGGAAAAGAAAGAAAATAGCTCTCAGCTAACAGTGTCTGTCATTTCCCCCCCCCCCCTCCCCCTCCCATCGACCCAGTCATATCTCCCTCCCTGAAGGATTGAAAAATCTTCCCTGGCAAAATTATTTAAACAAAAATAGTTAAGAAATGAGAACTTTAAAATACCGTTTTAAGCTCTCTCAGTTAATAGTGTCTGGCATCAACCTCCCTAACCCACCCCCCCCCCCCCACCCCTCCCCCACTAATCATATAATCCTCTCTGAAGGATGGGAAAGTCATTATCTGACGAAATATTGTAACTAAATTGAGTTTGGCATCCGTGTCCACCCAGACTAAAATGGGTAGCATTAATGTGTACTGAGAAGTACATGTGGCCAGTGTAACAGCTACTACATCACCCATGCAGTACCAGACTACTGCTACCACTACCACCACCACCACAACAACAATAACAACAACAAAAACTGTCACTACAGTATGTGTAGGTCAGTGTAGCCAGAGGTGTTAGCACCACATGCTGTTCCAACGGACTGTTTAGTTTAATTTTGCCCCCGACAGAAATAAAACAACTTCATCACCTAACCAGTGATAGAACCCACAATAAAAAGTACACATTACTAACAAATAGCGGAGAAAAATACCCCGCACACGTCATCTCTCCCTCTCCAAAGTGATTATTTTAACTGACCTTGGCATCTGTGTCCACCCAAACTAAACTGGACTGTAAGCCGTCTTAGTTAACAGTTTCTGATGTGGAATAGTTTTTGACCGAGAAGCATCGCGGGGAGGCTAACTGGGACTTTACTGAAATCGGTTGTCTTTAAGCGAAAGGCCCAGATATAGCAGTCTAGCTTTAAACCACAACACAATGTGGCAACCACCCTTTTAAGGAAAAAAGAACAATTATCACCCAGTGGGGAATTGAACACAGGTCATCCGCGTGAAGGGTAGAATACTTACAACTATACTACTGAACACTGAAGAGTGTAGGTCTGTTATCGCAGCCTAACTGTAAACCACAACACAACGCTACAACAGCCTACTCGAGAGCAAAAGAAGATTACCCTTGACATGACCATTGAGCATTACGTCGCCGCTATCGCAGGCTAGCTGTAAACCCCAAAACCGAAAAAAGGCGTAGATATTGCAGCCTAGTCATACACCACAACACAACATGCCAGCCACCCAGTAAAGGCCCCCCCCCTCCCCGCCCCCCCCCCCCCCCAAAAAAAAATTAAATCACCTAGCGTGATATCGAACACGAGTCACCCGCATGATAGGCAGATATCACAGCCTAGCTGTAAACCACAGCACAATGTGGCAACCACCCTTTTAAGAAAAAAAGAACAATTATTACCCAGCGGGAAATGACCAACGGTCATCCGCGTGAAGGGTAGAATACTTACAACTATACTACCGAACATTGAAGAGTTTAGGTCAGATATCGCAGCCTAGCTGTAAACCACAACACAACGTGCCAACGGCCCTCTCAAGGGCGAATGAAGATTACCTGTGACATAACCATTGAGCATCACGTTGCCGCTATCGCAGGCTAGCGAAAAAGGCGTAGATATCGCAGCCTAGCCATACACAACTACACAACATGCCAGCCGCCCAGTTAAGGGCCAAAATAAAAAAAAGAAATTATATCACCTAGCGAGGAATCGAACGCGAGTCGCCCGCATGATTGGCAGATGTCACAGTCTAGCTGTAAACCACAACACAACCTGGCAACCACCCTTTTAAGGGAAAAATAACAATTATCATCCAGCTGGAAATCGAACACCGGTCACTCGCGTGAAGGGTAGAATACTTACAAAATACTACAGAGCACTGAAGAGTTAAGGTCAGATATCGCAGCCTAGCTGTAAACCATAACACAACGTGCCAACGGCCCTCTCAAGGGTGAACAAAGATTACCCGTGACATGACCATTTAGCATCATGGCGCCGCTGTCGCAGGCTAGCTGTAAACCCCAAAATATAAAAAAGGGGTAGATATCGCAGCCTAGCCATAAACCACAATACAACGTGCCAGCCGCCCAGTTAAGGGCCAAAAAAAATTATATTACCTAACGGGGAATTGAACGCGGGTCATCCGCATGATAGGCAGAACAGTTACCGACTACGCTACCAAACACTCAAGCAGTTACTGAAAATGAAATTATATAGTAATGCAAAGTTAAAAAAAAAAAGAGCTCACAATAGGCCTTGCTGACAATAGGCTGACTAGTCAAAAATAGCCAATCAATTAAAAACAAATCCGGGCCGGCAACAAAACAAATAATGATTTGACCATTGCTGGAGCTACGTCGTTCGTGGTTTGTGTGATTTTCTAACAAAAAATCACAATTTGAGTCAAAGGCTATTTTAGTTAACAAACTCGGAAAATTAACATTTTTATTAATATAGATAAAATACAATGTATTGATTGGCACTCATAAAAAGAAGTAGAATGATAGAAGAGCATAAAAATCGAAAGCTATAGTTAAGGTGCCGGGAATCGAACCTGTCACCTCAAGACGGCTTGTGCACCTCACTATGAAAACAAGTGTACTAATACTAAGAACATGGTTAACTAGGCACCCCCTATTTATATTTGAATCTGATTGAATTGCAATAGCTCTTGAGGGCAGTTGGATTGAGGTAATCTTCTCCTTCTGTGCTGTCAATTAAAAGGGAGATGGTATGGCTAACAGGCAGACTGGTATCTGTAGCTTTCAGCCTAATACATCCAACTTCAGCAGATCCCTAATTGGTCACCTGTTATGACATGCTTGTTATGGAGCACAGGATCTATTTATACCTTCATGTTTCATTGGCGTGATGTTGACCACATCACCCAACAAGGGATGATTGGTCTATAACAAAAATAGGTCTAGCCCTATATGCCCAATATACCTGAAGGCATGGAAAAGGGTCCTTTACTTTCATGTTTTGTTGTCTACTCCCAGTGTAGTTATTCTCATAAACATTCCAATTGTGTAAGTTCAAAATTTTCACCATGTTTGTTGTTAACTTTGTTGGCAGTTTTATCTTTGCAAGTTTATATTGCAGTGTGCCCTTTGTATGTTGACTGTAAATGTATGTTTATATATATATATATATATATATATATATATATATATATATATATATATATATATATATATATATATATATATATATATATATATATATATATATGTCTTAGAAAATAAAAATAAGCCTGAATACATAAAATATTTGTAAAATGTAACTGAAAACTTTAGCAACAGCAGTGAACTTGTTAACTCACTTGCCTACTTGCCTGGTGGTCATGTATTCAAATCTTCAAATCCCTATTATTATTATCAGTTCAGTTTTTTAATGTTGCAAAGACAGGTCATGTCGGGGTGAAAGGAAGTGAAAGAGCCAACATACTGGTCATTTCTGCAGTGTTTGGTGAAAGAAGAAGTATGGACATTGTTAACTGTTACAAGAATAGAAATTGTATCTCATAACTTTAGCGCTCCATCCCCATCTTCAGCAGCCAGCTCGAAAGTTCCAGTATCAGAGGTTCCAGTAGCAGTCTGATTATCTTTCCATGTTGCCTTTTCTCTGAGCGTTAAGTATCAGCTAGATCACTCCTCGCTGCATCAATGTCACCAGACTGATGATCAGTTTGCTGTTTGAAATTGTAAATGTACTCCCATAAGCCTCAACCATGTCTGTCTTAACATGCATCAGTATTCCACCAAGTTGTGCAGAGCCAGCCAAGTGGCCTTCTGTTCATTTCCCAATACAACTATACTACTGAACACTGAAGAGTTTAGGTCAGATATCGCAGCCTAGCTGTAAACCACAGTAATTGCTACCTTGGAGAAAAGATCCAGACAGTGCTGTTCATCCCTTACCACTGAAGTGAAACATGCCTGTCCTAACCTTCCTCAGCATGCTTTCTGAATCACAGTCACAATATGTGTGTGTATTGGGTTCTCTAGCCAGTGGACAGCTGCAGTGACCACCTCTACCTCCATTTTTAAGCTGCTTGTTATGGTATCATGCTAGGCTCTCCTGCACCAAATGTCAGCTATTAGCTTTTGCTGAGAAACCTCAGGCAATCAAAGCTAACTGTATACAAATTTATACATGTATCAGAACAGTGTTATGTAATCACTTAAACTCTGACTTAACTCTGAAAATATATTTTTTGTGCTAAACTGAAAACTGAGTTTGTTGTGCATGATTCTTTCCAGAATCCAGTGGCCCATTGTTGGTCAGAGCCTAGTCACTTCAAACGAAAATTCTGCAATGTTTGCAGAAAACGTTTGGAGGATAGCTTGTCTATTCGCTGTGAAAGTAAGTACTGATGTGTTAATTGGGGGAAAATAAAATGAGGGGGAGAGAGTGTGTGTAGAAACATAAGGAGAATAGAAAGGAAGAGTGAGATGAATAATAATAAAATGCAGTAAGTTTTGTTACAGAGACAGTTTGCTAGAGTCAGGGAGAGTACACACATTGAAGTTATTATAGTTTGGGAAATAGCATTGAACTAGTAGCTGCACTTAATATTCATTATCATCATCCTGTTTTGCCATTATGCATCATATAGGGTCTTTAGTGTGGTCTTCCATTCCATTATGTCCTGTGCGGTGCTTTCGATATCATGGATTAAATCTAGCCTCTCTCAACAGCAGTCATCTTAGGGTTTCTTTTTGAGGTCCTCATTTCATCAGTTCATTTGTTTCGTGATTCTTCGTTTGCTTTTGCTTATGATGTGTCAAGTATTTTGCCATCTCTGTTTTTTTTTTCTTATAACTAATTATACAGCCATTTCTATTATTTTTGTGCCTTTCTTGAATTCATCCCATTTAATGTTCATCAATGTCCTTAGTCATCTGTTTCTGAATTAGTTATTTGAAAACAAATTACAGCTGTTGATATGTGGAACTAAGTAAGATGCAATGACCACAGACAAGTCTGGTTCTGATGTGTAGCTGATGAACTTGACACAGAAACAGTTAGCAGATCCATTGACATCTTCTGAAGGAAACAAATAAATCCCTGAGGAAACTTTGAGATCCATTGAAATAATATGATAAACAAAGTGCACTGATTAGCACTCAGATGCAGAAGAAAGAAGTCAAGATAGGAAAACGTGGATAGTGGTTATTTTCAAAGGGTCACAAATTGGGAAATCAATCCCAGCTTTAATTGGCCTTCCAAACACTTGCCCGACACACAGATCTTATGTTCAAAGCATTGTGTGGGTGACGAGGCAGACCAAGAAAGACTTGGATATGTAGAATTTGGCTGACTGGACAGGCATTCGATTTGCAAAGATAAAGCACAGTGTATCTCACAGATGTGGAGGGAGCTAATCACACAGTCACCAGCAACTGGTGACCCAAACACACATGATGCTATGAGGATGATAGTAACCACAGCGAGAATCAGACTATACACTAGACAAGTTGATAATCAAGATAATCAGAAGCTATGGTTAAGACACCAGGAATTCAAACTTAAAAGCAAACCAGCCTCGTTCGTTAGATAACTGACTTATTATTTGTTTAGTATGTGCAAAGTCGATGCAAACACTTCTCAATGCCGGGGTACCGAGTTCGATCCCAGCTGCAGGCCATACGCCTTGCGTTGGTTTCGACAGTGGTATCATGGAGCCAACCGTCCAGGAAGCAATGGCAAACTACTGGACGTATAAATTTGCCTAGTGAAACCACACAACAGCCAGGGGCTGATGGGGTTGGTTCTGCAACATCCTGTAAAGGATTCGCAACTAACCTGAAAAACTTTAAAGTATGTGCCTGTGGTGTAACACATAAGTGATTAATTGCTTGTTTATTGTTAAAAACAAATATTGATAAACGTATTTGGAGTATTGCTTCCTCTATGTAATAATTGGATAACTAGACAGTGGCGATAGCTTCTCACAAAGACAATGAATGCACATATATGATGATGAGAAAGCAAACTACAGTTAAAATGTTTATTTCCTTCTTCACAAAATATCATATAGTCACCGTCTTCTGATCGCTTGAGTCTGAGATTTAAAAAGCACATGTTAAATATTCACCTGCGATGTTCACAATCATCAGCAGTCATTACCTTGCATTCGCACAATGCACAGGCGACAAGTTTGCATCTCTGACACTCTGCTGCCAATCTATCGTCACAGTCACGCTGGGTGTCACTTAAATAACTTCTGGTCAGGTATTCATCTTGAAGAATCAGACTTCTCCACACATCGTCAGATACAGTTCATAGCTTTCACACGGCTCTCGAACTCGACCAGTCACTCTTGCTGCCAAACACCAACGGATTCGATCTTGGTTTCACCTTTCAGACCTCTCTCTGGTTTCCTCTTGCTATCACCCTTTCACTACCCAGTTAAACCCTGGATTTTGCGAGCAGTTTCTTTCTTGCTTCTATTCCCTTGACTTACCCTTACTTATCCTGTTGGGAAATCCCCTAATTACAATATTCATTCTTTATTGACTCTTCTATATGTGAATATTATAAAATACGTGTGATTAATTGACTGTTTCAGTGTGTGAATATTATATAACACCCATGACTGACTGACTGTTTCAGTGTGTGAATATTATATAACACCCAAGATTGATTGACTGTTTCAGTGTGTGAATATTATATAACACCCATGATTGATTGACTGTTTCAGTGTGTGAATATTATATAACACCCATGATTGATTGACTGTTTCAGTGTGTGAATATTATATAACACCCATGCTTGATTGACTGTTTTGGTGTGTGAATATTATGTAACGTCCTTGATTGATTTGATTGATTAACTGTTTCAGTGTGTGAGTATTATATAATATCTGTGATTGATTGACTGTTTCAGTGTGTGAATATTATATAACACCCATGATTGACCTATTGTTTCAGTGTGTGAATATTATAAACACCCATGATTGATTGACTGTTTCAGTGTGTGAATATTATACAACATTCATGATTGATTGACTGTTTCAGTGTATGAATATAATGTAACACCTATGATGGATGGACTGTTTCAGTGTGTGAATATTATATAACACATATGTGATATATCATGTTTGTCATTGTGTGAACCTGTAATACACATGTGACTGATTGATTATTTCCATATGTGAACATTATGCAGTACACATTATTGTTTCAATATATGAATATTATGTAAGAAGCATGTGAGTGATTGATTATCTGTCTCAGTATGTGAAACATTTTTCAGTACACATTTGATTTTGTTTAACGGATACATGAATGATTGATTTGTGAGTATTATATAACTGACTTGTCATTTCCATATGTGAACATTATATGCAGTACACATTCATTGTTTCAATATATGAATGTTAGTATCAGAAGCATGTGTCATTGAATGATTGATTATTTCCATATGTGAACATTATATCAGTACATGTGTCATTGTTGACTGGTTAATATATTCAGGATGTTATGTAATGAAGTTACATGTGTCATTGATGACTGATTATTGATTCATATGTGAACATTATGCAGTACACATTATTGTTTCAATATATGAATATTATGTAAGAAGCATGTGAGTGATTGATTATTTCGATATGTGAACATTATGCAGTACACATTATTGTTTCAATATATGAATGTTATGTAAGAAGCATGTGACTGATTGATTATTTCCATATGTGAAAATTATGCAGTACACATTATTGTTTCAATATATGAATATTATGTAAGAAGCATGTGAGTGATTGATTATCTGTCTCAGTATTTAAATATTTTATAACACATTTGATTTTGTAACGGATACATGATTGATTGAGTTTGTGAGTATTATATAATACACTTGTCAGTTTTTGATTGATTCAGTATATGCTTATTATGTAACACATGTGTCATTGAATGACTGGTTAATTGATTCAGGATGTGAGTATCATGTAGTACATGTGTCATTGAATGACTGGTTAATTGATTCAGGATGTGAATATTATGTAGTTACACATGTCATTCTTTAATTTATTGCTTGGTTGATTGATGGATTACCATGTGCATGTTATAAAACATAGATGTCATTGATTTATTAAGTATGTGAATATTATGTAATGCACGTCATTGATTAATTGATTGTTTCAGTATGTGAATATTATGCACACCTGGAGTGTCAGGACTTTGTGGTGAGTGACTGTATGGAGTGTGCCACATACTTCCCTCAGAGAGACAGGGTAAGTCACCTGTTCAGTCTCATTATTTTTCTTCACTTATTTAATTATCATTTCACTGCCGCTGTTTTGTTATTTGTTTCTTTATCGTCTTTTATGTCATCAGATTGTCATTGTTCTTACTTTTCTGCATTTCCGTTTAAAGGGATGGTTGCCACGTTGTATTATGGTTTACAGCTAGGCCACAATATCTGCTCTGTTTGGCCTAGCAAATCTGATATCAGCGAACTCCTAAGTAGTCACATTTTACTATATGTTTGTTAGTAGGCAGCAGGTCATTTATGTTTGTTGTTGTAATACATATCTAATATATGCTATGTGCTACTTTACCTAAAGGCTTTTGCCCAGTATGGGGTGTCAGGGTTGGTATATGCTGCTAAACACTTTAACAGAGGACAGGTAGTCCTGACTACTGTATATGGTAGCTCACTCATATCTGACCAGTTTAACAGAAAGGAAAGGCAGTATCGACTACTGTTATACAGTGTCTCATTCATATCTGACCAGTTTAACAGAGAGGACAGGTAGTATCGACTACTGTTATACAGTGGCTCACTCATATCTGACCAGTTTAACAGAGAGGACAGGTAGTATTGACTACTGTTATACAGTGGCTCACTCATATCTGACAAAGTTAACAGAGGACAAGTAGTGCTGACTACTGTTATATGTTATCTCACTCATATCTGACCAGTTTAACAGAGAGGACAGGTAGTATTGACTACTGTTGTACAGTGGCTCACTCATATCTGACAAAGTTAACAGAGGACAAGTAATACCGACTACTGTTATATGGTAGCTCACTCATTTCTGTCCTGTTTAACAGAGAGGACAGGTAGTATTGACTACTGTTGCACAGTGGCTCACTCATATCTGTCCTGTTTAACAGAGAGGACAGGTAGAATTGACTACTGTTGCACAGTGGCTCACTCATATCTAGCCAAGTTAACAGAGAGGACAAGTAGTACCGACTACTGTTATATGTTATCTCACTCATATCTGACCTGTTTAACAGAGAGGACAAGTAGTACCGACTACTGTTATATGTTATCTCACTCATTTCTGTCCTGTTTAACAGAGAGGACAAGTAGTACCGACTACTGTTATATGTTATCTCACTCATTTCTGTCCTGTTTAACAGAGAGGACAAGTAGTACCGACTACTGTTATATGGTAGCTCACTCATTTCTGTCCTGTGCTGAGACCCTTCCATGCCCTGACAAAAGACTGTCAAGAATCTTCTCACAAATCTTACTCCACAAATATTTCTGGTGGTCACAACATGTTCCAGTTTCCCTCTTATTATTACATGACCAGAAATTATGACTGTCTCCTGATGTTTGTAATAAGTTTTCTTTGGGCCCTCACCTCTTTAAAAATATTTGGATTAAACATTCTGGCTCTCCGAGGATTTATGAGGATTCCTCTACGAAACCACATCTCTTAAGCCTCAAGAAATAATTTGGCTTATTTATTAAATGTCCCAGATTCACAGCCACATGTTAAATTTAGCTGTGTGTAGCATGCAAGAATTCTTTGTTCAACTCTTTCAGGTCCATGAATTTTGACAGACTTGGCCCTTTTTAATTTCCCTTTTAAAAAATGGCAGAGGGTGGTGTACAAAAAAGGCAATAGAGAGTGTAATATCATTCTAATCCCTACAGAAGTATATAGTTTTTAAAGAGAAATGAATGTACATTTAGAATATGATGATAAGTGTATGTTAGAAACTGTTTTAGTTAGTAGGAAAGAAGAATTCAGCAGGTGTTAGTTTCACACACAAAAATAATTTTACAAAAACAATTCTTCTTTCAATGGTTTTGCAGCCACAAGAGCAATGAATATCCTAATTTGAGAATAACACTTTGAGAGAGAAAAACGGCAGAAAGAGCCATTATTACACACACACTATTTAATTTACTATTTACTTTGTACAGTTATATACAGACTTTAGCTGCAATGATTTCAGTGTGGCTTAGCTATAGTACAGTACTGTCTATTTGTTTGAAGCACTTTCCTTCTCTTACACCCTAATTACTGTATCAATGAACATTCTCTGTGTCAGATTCATCAAAACTGCTTGATTCCCTAATAGCTGATCGCTCAGCTGCCGCTTGTGAAAATTCACTGTCTGAATCATTTTCCGAAAAATCAGAATTTTCATTATCATTATCTTAATTAAGAACATCTGACTGAAACAATTTCAGTGCAGTGGCGTCAGAAAGACAAATTCTGCAACCTGTACTTGTGGTTGGAACGCTGGTATCCATGGCACTCGAAAAATTAACTTAGAAAATGCACTGTTGCTATCTATGAATCAGAACAATCTGAGCCCACATGTCTTAGAACCCGGAATTTTATTCAAAGGAAGACGTCAAAGAAACTTTCCTGAATATCTAAAAAGTAGTTCTGAACATTAGAAATGAATACAGCACTGTATGTGAAACAATATTTATGGGACACAGGATTGATGCTGACAATGTTGTATAGGCAAATCAAAACCTCTCAATCCACACTCACAGTACTGCTCAGGCCTTGGCAGTTGGAAATCGAAAAGAGTATCCTAACGGCGCTGCCCTGGCAAATATTTGGAGTTAAAAATCTACCCAAAGTATTTCAGGGTTCTTGCAGGTGCTACAGAGCCTGTGCACTGTGCTGAGATTCTTCGGACTCAGATTTGAGTTGGAAGAAGTAGATAGCACTTATGGGTTACTACCCATGTACCATGATGTTGATCTGTTGTTCAAACCTCAGACCTTAAACTATTTGAAATTATTCATGTGCCAAGATACTTAACCTTCTATCTTGTCTCAAAGTAATGCCATTACGTTTTTTTTTAAATTGAGATACTTGCATATGCTCTTAATTGTCTTGAATATGTTCTTAATTGTCCATGACAAGATGAAGAATATTGGCCTGAGAATGAAATCACAATGAATAAATATGTGATTGTCCCACAGAATGTCACCCATTACCACCACTGGCGTGAAGGCAACCTTCCCCCCAACTCCAAGTGTGTTGCATGCAAAAAGACCTGCTGGTCATCAGAATGCCTGGCAGGAATGAGATGTGAATGGTGCGGAGTTACGGTATGTACCCGTTATGTTTACTGCTCTTTGGTTTCTCCATTTCCTGCTGCTGGTTTTTTATTTTTAAATTTTTTTTTTTTTAGTGATTGTTGGTTATAAGTAAGAGACAAACACCGTTCTTTGGCCACATAATGAGAAGAGAGATATTGATGAACATCGTGACAACTTGAAAGATCAGTGGAAAAATGGTTTGAGGCAGACCAAGAGAGATGATGCTGGATGGGCTGAAATAATGGCATGGAGGGATATCATCAAGAGAGGTGTTCCAGGCAACCAGGGATTGTGATCTTTTGAGACGCAAGAGCGTCAATGCCAGTTGGCAGGGCACATGATGATGATGGTCATGCTATGCTTATTGAAATAATTCTGAATACATGGATTCTCATTATGGTTTATGTTATTGATCCAGCTATACCTGTTATTGTTGATATTGTTTCAGCTGTGCTTGTTATTGTTGGTGTAATTGATTAATCTGTGCCTGTTATTGTTAATGTTATGTATTCAATGTTTGTGATAGTTAGCAGTGTTATTAATAAAGCTGTTTTTTTTTTACAGTTTGTTAATTTTCATGTTATTGTCCTGCTATTTGTTTATTCAGCTTGCCTTTTATTGTTGATTTTATTGATTCCACTGTGCCTGTTATTGTTGATGCTATTGATTCAGCTGTGTCTGTTATTGTTGTTATTATTGATTCTACTGTGCCTGTATTGTTGATGTTATTGATACAGCTATATTTAATAATGCTGTTATTGATCCACCTGTTTGTTGTTATTGATACAGCTGTGTTTGTTTTTCTGTTGCCATAAAATGAGTGAGATCTGTGGCAGCACAGTGGCATCACACCACCTGCCAACCAGAAAAGTTAAAACTTGAATTCAGTCCAGCAAGAGGTACGCTGTGATGCAAGTGAGAGGATAACTTCAAGAGATAAAACAACAGTCCCAGAGGGCCTAAGCAGGGTAAAAAAAAAGACAGAGGGTTGGACATCCATTGAGTCATCCTCCTTAGTGAAGCTGACACCTAAGTCGTTGTCTGTGTCTTACCAAGTGATGTCCGGATAACACGCAGTTATTCAAACTCTTTTAGTCCCAAACAATGCATGATGTGTTACTGATTGTTCCCTATGTGTCTCAAACATCACATCAAGTGTCTTCCTATCTTTGAGTTTTGATCAGTGTATATATTAATCTGGCAACCACAGGGGATTTTTCATTCATTTTTTTTTCTTTATCACAACAATTGCTTACAATTTTGTGCAATATTTTATGAAAAAAAAAAAAAAAAAAATTTTTCAAAATGTTATGGGACTGAAGAAGTTCAGTTAAATGTGTTAAGTTTGTTGTTTTGCTGAACACAGATTGTCATTTTAAGTCAAAAAGGTTTCATTTGTGTTGTTAGACACAGGTAGAGTCATTGGTCAAGCCACTTCAAGTGACACACACAGTTGTTAGGGATCTTGGTGGCAAAGTGTGTAAACTTAAAAGCCTCACAGTGTGAAGATAATGAATTCAGTTTGTGACTTTTGGCTTACAGTGTAGGTATTTTAGGGACCTCAGGGATTGTCACTGGACCTGTGGAGTTTCATTCTTTGTGCAGCACTCCTTAGGGCAAGTAGACACTTTGCACACATGAGAGAAAATCTGGTGCAGTGAGGGTAATTTTTTTAATATATTTTTTTTTTACAATGTCACTGTTTTGAGGTGTACCTGAATTCCATATCTTGCACAGGCCCATGCCACTTGCTACAAATCTCTCCCTGTTGAGTGCAAATTTGGAAGTTTACGAGAAATCCTGCTACCATCTAGTTGCCTGACCATACCTCGGCTTGATGTTCCCATGGAAACCATTCTGGGAATCAGTAGAAAGTCAAGTAAGTTGAGTGTTTGCATTCTACAAATCAGTAGAAAAATCATGTAAGTTGAGGGCTTGCATTCTAGGTATCAGTAGGAAGTCAAACAAGTGTTTGCATTCTAGGAGTTGGTAGAAAATCAAGTGATTTTAATGTTATTTTCAACGTTAAGCCTCTTATTGTCCCCCCCCCCCCCCCCCCAACCGCCATCGTGTAGTCCTATCCATTGCTATTGTATGCAGCTCACTTCTTGCCTTCCTCATCTTTTTTAATTTCACTCTTTGGTCCCTCTGTTTGTTTTTTCCTGACTCTATCTCTGTGCCCAAATGGATTCCAATGTTAAAAAAAACTTCTTGTTATATTGTTCTCATGTGTTCTCAGCTTGAATCCTCTCCAACACTGCGGCCTATGCAAAAGTAGTATCTTTTGTTCAGCTCTTGATTCACTGGAATTTGTTCAGTTCACTCTCAAAGCTCCACATTAGTGATTCTATCATACCATTTAATTCCTTCTATTCTGCACAGGAACTATGTAATGAATGTTTGCATTCTAAGAAGCAGTAGAAAATTAAGCAAATTTAGTGTTTGCTTTCTAGGTACCAGTTTGAAAAAAAAAAACGAGAGAGAAGTAAATTAAGTTTTTGCATTCTAGGAATGAGTTTAAAAAAAAATAATTCAGTTAAATTAGCTGTTTATAATATTAAAGTTACCTCTTAGTAAAAGATTTAACAGATTTAAAAAAAATTCTTTTCATAGTACTGCACAGTACTGCGGATTTAATGGTATTGTCTTTTTCTTTACTTCCTTAGTCTGTTTAAGACTCATCGTCATTATTAGATGCCTTTGACTGGTGTGGGGGATCATCCCTCTCCACAACTGGTGATCAACTTCATGAATCAGTTCATGACCTGCCCTTCCACGTTACGACAAAAGGCTATCAAGAATCTACTCATATTGTCTTCTTCTGTCTCTCTTTTCAAAAATCTTTCCAGTCATCACATCATGTTCCAGTTTCTTTCTTCTCATAACATGACCAAAAAGTAATCATTGTCTCTTTCTGATATTTGAGATAATTTTCTTCAGGCCAAAGCCTCTTCCAAAGAATCTTGGCTGCACAAAGGACTACTGGCTACTTTTTATATCTTTAAGGTGCCTTAGTATATGGGTAGTATGAGGAGTTATCAGGAATCTGTTTCTGTTGAATTGACATCAAAATAGCAGCTCTTTGAATCACTTGGTATTAACCTTTTAGGTTACAATCCCAGAGGAGAAATGCAAGAAATACATTTATGTTTTATTGCTTCAAGGAAGGTGCAAGGTTCTTCTTTTCTGTGCCTCAACCATAGACATATAATACTGTTGTAGAGTTTCTCTAATATTATCTTGTACCTTGTTCTTGGGTTCGATGTCTCACCGCTCTTTTCGTATGTGTCTTTCATGAAATTGCTTCAAAAGGCATTTGTCTAAGTGGGCAATCAATTTTACTTGCTGTGCTATAACAGTTGAATTGTAGCTTTTTTAAATAATTTACTTACAGGCTGTTGTCTTCTGCCTTGGATGTTATGTCACTTTATTGACTGTGATGTATCTACTTATAGAAATTGTGTGTATTGTGTGTGTATGTGTGAGAGAGAGAGAGAGAGATTATATGTGTTATCATTGAATAGATAAATCTGCCAGAAGTCACTAAAAGTGGCACACATTTGCAGTCACTAATGATAAGTGCATGATTCAGTGGGCACCAGCTAATTGCAGCATACTGGTAACAAGGTAATATAATAATATGAATGTTGTTGTTGATGACACTTTATGTCTTTCCAGATAATAGTGTTGGATTATGCTTTATGGAAATGTGAGCATCACAGCCCAGCCTGATAGCAAGGGTGACCATAGCATCAGTACTAGGCTGTTTTAAAGAGACTCTGTGTGTGTGTGTGTGCGTGCCTGATAGCAAGGGTGACCATAGCATCAGTACTAGGCTGTTTTAAAGAGACTCTATGTGTGTGTGCGTGCGTGCCTGATAGCAAGGGTGACCATAGCATCAGTACTAGGCTGTTTTAAAGAGACTGTGTGTGTGTGCGTGCGTGCCTGATAGCAAGGGTGACCATAGCATAATAACTAGGCTGTTTTAAAGAGACTATGTGTGTGTGCGTGCGTGCCTGTTAGCAAGGGTGACCATAGCATCAGTACTAGGCTGTTTTAAAGAGACTCTGTGTTTGTGTACGTGCGTGCCTGATAGCAAGGGTGACCATAGCATCAGTACTAGGCTGTTTTAAAGAGACTCTATGTGTGTGTGCGTGCGCACGGGCGCTCCATGATCAACATTAAAAGTATTAATGTTAATATTGATAGAAATTATATTTAACACCTGCTTTTGTCTCTTTCTTTCCCGCAACCCACCTGACTTGTCCACGGCAGCTTTTCCAGGTGAGTACAGCCAGCCCCTTGTTGTATTGTGTCTTTATGGCTGCATGTTGATATATTCTCTATCAGATGCAGTCCCAAAAATAAGGCATCAGGTGTTGATGGAATATCAGCCGAGGCAATACAGGCTTGTGGAGAAATTGGAGTCACCTGGCTACTCCACATATTTAGGAAAGCCTGGAATGAAAGAACTGTACCAATAGACTGGCAAAGAGCCCTTATAGTCCCAATTTGGAAAAGAAAAGGCAATAAGCAAGATTGTAACAATTACAGAGGCATCTCCCTTCTAAGCCACGTAGGAAAAATGTTGGCCAAAATTCTGGAACAACGAATTAGATCCGTTGTAGAACCGATCCTGAGCCCAAAACAGGTCGGATTTAGGAAAGGAAGAGGGTCTACTGACACTATTTTTGCTTTAAGACAAGTTAGCGAAAAGATAATAGAACACAGACATCAAATGAACATCGCTTTCATAGATCAAGAAAAAGCTTTCGATAGAGTAAACAGAAATTTATTATTTAAAGTTCTTGAAAACTACGGTATAAATGGAAAAATTTTAGATTGTGTTAGGGCTATTTATAGACAAAGTGAAAGCGCCATTAGAACAAGAGCTGGCATCACAGACTGGTTCCCAGTAACATCAGGAGTAAGACAAGGTTGTGTATTATCACCTTTACTTTTCATAATATTTATGGACAATATTAATAAAATAGACATAACACCAACAGATGTCTATAAACAGGAGGACTTCAATAAGCTGCTCTTTGCCGACGATCAATGCATATTTCACAGTGATAGTAAACAGCTGCAAGACCACATAAACCTACTACACGACAGTTGCCTCAAGCATCATATGAAGATCAATACTGAAAAGACAGAAGTCATGAGCATAAGTAGAGAGCAACAGACCATCGACATAAAGATTCTAGATCACAGCCTAAAACAATTGCAAGAATTTAAATACTTGGGAAGTATCTTCATACATTCAATGGTAAAATAGACAGAGAGATCGAAGCAAGAATCCAACAAGCCAACAATGTCGCATACCAGCTTGCCCCAATTTTAAAACACCCTGCTGTTCCAGCTGAGATAAAAAGACAAATTATAAATACAATCTTTATTCCGACATTAGGTTATCAATTTCAGACTTGGACATTAACAAAAGAACACAAGAGAAGACTAACCACCTGTGAAATGAGATGTTTGAGAATGGCTGCAAATAAAACCAGAAGAGATCGAGTGAGAAACGATGTGATTACAAGAACTATTGGAACCATACCCAACGTTAAATTTATTGAGAAGCAAAGAATGAAATGGTTTGGTCACCTAATGAGAATGGAACCAACGATGCCAGCATCAAGAGCATACAACATGAAAATCGAAACACCAAGAGGCAGGGGAAGACCAAGAAGAAGATGGATTGAAAGAGTCACGGACAACTTGAGACTTCATAACATCACGGCATATAAAGCGACTGAGCGCGCCCTGGCTCGGTTGCCGATCATCTGATAGACTGCGACGCCTAGCGGCACAAGCAGATTTTGACAAAAGAAAGAAGAAAGAAAGTTGATATATTAAAATTGAAAAGAGACTTTCTTTAGCAGTGTTAAGGTTAAATAGTATGAGGAGCTTTTAGCACATCAGCAAATAACTTGAAGTGGCACAGTGGTCAAGCTATTTGCTTCGCATGTTGAAAGTCATGGGTTCATTTCACATTGCTCTATGTGGCTAAGTCAACACAACCGTGTTTATCGTAGTCTAAGGGAAGGAAAGCAGCAAATAAAAAAATAAAAAAAATTGTGGGCTTTGTTTGTATTCCCCTTACCTAAAAAAAAATTTCACACTTAAAAGCTAATATTTTTATTTTAATGATTTGGTGGTGACATTATCACAACGGCCATCATGCTTGCTTGTCAGCTTTGTGGTCTAGAGGGGTTGTCTCGTAGGATTTTTTAAATATAAAAACTGACCAAGCCTCAAAATTTCCTCTGCTTCTCTTCTCTTACTATGGTCACACTTGCTTGTCTGCTCTGTGGTTCTGGGGGGTTGACTTCCAGGATTCTTATAAAAATTAATATTGACTCAAAATTGCTCTACTTCCTCTTCTCTTACTCTGGTATCTTTTTAATGCAGTTTTTAAAAACATTTTTAAGATTCTTACAGGGCAAAAATGTTTTTAAAAAAAATTCTGAGAACAACCCTCATTCCTGTGGCAACATCATCATCATCATCATCGTCATCAAGTGCCTTGCCAGCTGGAATAGGCGTTCATGCGTCTCCACAGATCTTGGTCTTTGGTGTCATGAATTGATTCCACTGATGATATTCTTCCATATCACTGTCTTAAGTCATCCACTACCATTTTGTCTTTGTCTCCCTCAGTCTCTTCTACCAGTGATCTTTCCGTTCATCACAGTATTTTCCAGTACTCCTTTTCTCATTACATGACCAAAGAACTTTGTTTGTCTTCTTCTCATTGTTGTGTATAATGTTTTACTTTCATTAGCCATTTCCAGGCAATCATTGTTAGTTATTCTGGCAGTCCATGGTATTCACAACATTATTCTCAAGAACCACATCTGCGGCAACATGTATGCATAATTTGCAATCACTAAAGAAGGAAACCATTGTTTTTTAACTTAAATCTTACAAGAAGATTCTTAGACTATCATAAAAAATAGGGGGAACTGGCTAAAAATCAGCACCCTTTCTTGTAAACTGAAATATATTGGTCATATTAAGAGCCATAATGATTGGAAGAGAGAAATAACGGAAGGTATTGTTCCTGGAAGCACATAAATTAACACTCTAAAGCCATATGTTAGGTATTGAATCACACAAATTTCCTGTTTCCTTTTTACAACAGCTCGCACTGTCTCTGAAGAGTGGTCTTCTAGTGGTGATTCAAAAACAGAGGATGAAGAGAGAGAGCGAAGGTCTCCCAGAGAGAAAGATGGAAAAGATAAAGATAAAGAAGACTGTGAGTATGAATCAGTCAGATTACAATTACATTATTTGGGTCGGAGGGGGTAGGGATGATTGTGAAATTGCAAAAAAGAAAAATACTTAGAAAAGATCAGAGCACTTATAGGTATGCCTAACATACAGTGAATAAGATCTTGAAATGAACAGTGATTGCTGCATTCAAAAAACATGGGGAGGCAGAGTAAAAAATATCTGGGGCTAGAAAACTAACGATGCAAGGAAAGGTGAAAATAACAACAAACTACTGTGTATGTTTTGTGTATGAAGTGGCTTCAGATAGTTCCCTGAATGTATTTTCTGTACAGATCTAAGTAAATTAACATGGGCTTGAATCAGACTAGTACTAAAACCAGTCATACAATTCTTTAAAGAGCAATAGTGGAGATAGTAGGGGTCATCTGATGAGAATGCCTTGTTACCATCTGCAACAGAGAGCCATGCTGAAGAAATATAATTAACACAGAGCAAGGGAAAGAAAATGCTAATGATGAAACAATAGCATGAAAAACAACCTTATAGAAATGATGATCAACTTAAAAAGTGCAAATGAAGCGTCGTCTCTCCAACCTACCCCCAACACTTCAGTGAGATCAATGGAGGAAGAGAAGAATACACCAGCTGTGAGGTTGACTTAGTATAATACAAGTGGTACCCTGCAATGTCCTGATCTGTAATAATAATAAGAACACAACAGGAGCATGAATAACAGGAGCTATTGATCAGCAGTAGGTGGGTCCCAGGTCGACAGTTGTTTCAGCGCCTTATCCTCCTTAACAGTCTCAGAGGGCGGGCCAACCCGGGTCATGTCTCCAGGCCTCGGACTTCTCCTAGCCAGGTCAGTTTAAAACAAATTTTTAAAATGCAATGAACCCTATTCTTCTTGTCTTGATGTATATTAACTTGGATACCCTGATAACGTCGGATGGAAGATGTATTTAAAAAGTTCAATGTAGAATAATAGCGAAGGCAAAGGCAGCATTTTACAAAATGATGAATATTCTGTGTCTTCTTTTTTTTTTGGTCAGTTGAGATGAGAAAGATAATTCTTAAATCTATATAAATCCTATCTTGATATACAGAAGTGAAACATGGACAGTTGATCGATCAATAAAAATTATTTGAAAGCTGCGTAGATGTGGTTTTATAGACATAATGATGAGGATACCCTTGACAGATTTTAAAAAAAAAGTTATCAAGATGACTGTCATGTCTAGAAAATGCCACACGGCAGGTACTTTAAGAAGAAGAAGATGTGTATTAAGTATTTAGTGCTAGCTTATCTTGTTATGTTTTTAAATATGATTAATAAAAAGTATGGGGTGCTCGGCAGTCCTTCAAAAATAAGATGTGTCTGTGGGTCTTAGCTAACTGGGAACCATGGGTCTAAGATTCCGGCTAATTAACCATTTACCCATTAAAACAGGGTGGTGATCATACTTGGGATCTTTTCTCCAGGCCATGCTGGCATGGTGGGTAATGAACAGGCAGACAGAATGGCTATATCCGCACCACTAGCTGGTGAGTTGATACATGACAGGGCAGATGTGAGCAAGGCCCTTTGGAAGCAAGCAACAGAATCAGTAGAGAAAGAAGATGATTATGGCCTGGAGAGAATGAGGCACCTGGATGTAACCAGAGGGTCTGGCCGGCTCACTATGCTCAGAGGAAAGGCAAAACAGACTTTTAACCAGATTGTGACCGGTACCATCAGTATTGGAACTCTGTGCTGGCTGCTGAAGATGAGGACCGAGCATGCATGGGAATGCCCCGAGTGCTGTGATGTCAATTCTCGACTCAGCTCAACTCAACCCAAGAAAACAGTTGCCCAGTCATAAAAGCAACCAATAATATCACTTGATTAATCAACCAACTGGTTGCCTAATCATAACAATCTAACAGTCCACCAACCCATCAGTCAGTTACTTTATACCTTAGGTATACTAAGCCCATTTAAGTGGGAGGGAGGGGGGAGGGACAAAGCATATAGTAAAAGACAGCTGACTAATTAGAGGTTTGCTCAAATCTGATGTGTTTTGTCAAAGGTGAGGATATCACAGTCTAGTTGTAAACCACAACACATGCTGAGCACCTTTTTACGGGCAAATGAAGAAGAAGAAAATGTACAATCTGCCAGATAGTCTCCAATACTGTGAACCCATTGATGTGTTCACTAACAGTGTTCTCATGTTATCTCACAGGGGAAATAATCCGAGTGTTTGATGGCAATGCCTCCCTGAAGAAACGGCTGTACCGAACTATCTCTGTTCCACGGAATGCAAATGTACAGGCTATTCTGGTAAAATACATCCCTGATCCATTTGAAATTTTTCATTTGTTATGTTTCTTGAAGTTTAGTGTATGAAGTGAGGAACCTTTTTTTTTTTAAATATTTCAGTAGCCTATTTGGCACATGATGCCAGACTCATAATTGTACAGATTGGTCAACACTCTTTGTATGCTGTGATCAACAACACATCAACCACTTTTCTTTCCAGGACTTTACCTTGCACCCATTTTAGGTGGGAAGTCGAGGTCATTTTTTAAAACAATCTTACCTGATGTGAATTTGAACCCAGAACCTTTAAGCCAGCACCATCTAGCTATTACGCCTGTCTTCCACCACTACTGTTTAGAATTATCTAATTCTACCTATAGATTCGGGGATCCCATTTTAGGAAGAAACAAATTAATAGATTCACTGGCCCTAAACATGCTTGTTAAAACAGGCAATTAGTAAAGGGTTTGTTGGGTCAAAAAGCACAGATAATGCAGCCTTGCAGAAAACAACAACACAGCTCTTAAGTGCAAACAAAAAAAAAGCAAAACTATACACGGAATGTGATTAAAATATTATATTTCCTAATTCTGGGCTTTCAAAATAATATAGGGCCATCTTCTGCATGGTGGCTTCTTATACAAGGAAAAAATTCAGCTTATTCAAAATGAACTATATCATTGTTGGCTGGACAGGCCAAGAGGCGCCTCTAACATTTTGTTTATCGCTTAAAGATCATCATATTAAGTCAAACAGACAGTACGCCAGTCATATAGTTAAAGATAAGTCATACTGTCATATACAGTCAGTGCTTCAATCATGTAGTCAAATATAAATCATTCTGCGTATACGTCAGCCATGTTGTCAGTACAAGTCTTATGTAATGTGTTGATCTGGTGAAGGCTGTCTAGCTGCAGCATTCACTTGTTGTTTGTGATACTGTGAGGCTGACTGGTTTGTGATACTGTGAGGCTGACTGGTTTGTGATACTGTGAGGCTGACTGGTTTGTGATACTGTGAGGCTGACTGGTTTGTGATACTGTGAGGCTGACTGGTTTGTGATACTGTGAGGCTGACTGGTTTGTGAGGCTGACTGGTTTGTGATACTGTGAGGCTGACTGGTTCTACTTGTCGTTTGGTTGGAAATCTTTTCATGACACTCTCAATATATCAGTCATATAGTCAGAGATAAGTCATACAGACAGTACATCAGTCATACAGAAAAAGATAAGTTGTACAGTCAGTACATTGGTCATACAGTCAGAGATAAGTCATACAGTCAGTAAGTACATCAGTCATATAGTCACAGATAAGTCAGACATCAGTACATTAGTCATATAGTCAAATATAAGTCATACAGTCAGTACAAGGTCCCTTCTCCGCGCCCTTAGGTGTATAGGGCATAAAGGGCTGGAGCTATATTTTTATAGACCAATCAGCACAAGATGTGTGATGTGGTCAGCATCACGCTAACCACCTTTACTTCCCAGGACTCCACCCAAGGCTGGGTCGACCTGGGATTCAAGGTCATTTTTGAAAAAAGTCCGGCCCCCCATTAGACGTATAGTTAAAGATAAGTCATACAGTCATTACATCAGTCATATAGTCAAGTATAAGTCATACAGTCAGTAGATCAGTTATATAGTCTAAGATAAGCTAAGTCATACAGTTGTACATCAGTCATATAGTCAAGTTTAATTCATACAGTCAGTTGATCAGTTATATAGTCTAAGATAAGTCATAGTCAGTACATCTGTCATATAGTCAAGTGTAAGTCATACAGTCATAATATTAGTCATACAGCAGAATATCAGTTAGTCAATAAGTCATGCAGACATTACATCAATCATAAATGATGATTCATTACGAAAGAAAACTAAGTCAAATGTTCTTGCAAATCACAGGAGGCAGCTCTTAAAACATTCCACATATCTGACGACCCCAAAAATTATTATGTCACTGAAGCATCAGAGTCAAGTCTCGGCAAACGTAAGTACGCTGTCTACATTCTTTACTTTTTGTTACCTGTATACCCTATATCATCAGAATTAGAACTCATTTTTGGCTGCTGAAGATGGGTTCTGAGCACTCACTGGAATGTCCCTAGTGTTATGAAATCGGTTGTTAATTCAGCTCAACTTATACTTTTATAACCCAGCCTTCAAACATCTCCTGGTAAAGACCAACAACGGTAATTAAATGCTGTATGGATTGTATCCTTTTATTACTTTGATTTAAAGAAGAAAATTGCAATTGGGGCACACTGTGAGTATGTCAGATGACAGGAGGGTAAAAACTGTATACAAAAGAGAGCTGAATGGTCATAGAGCACGAGGCAGGCCAAGAAGACGATGGAGAGACAGACCTGCAAACACTTGGTGTCACCAACTGGAAAGAGAAGGCCAGCCAGAGAGATGAGTGTAGGCGGGTGATATCTGCAGCAATGAACCTCAGGGGCTCAGAATGCTGAAGAAGAAGAAGAAGAAGGAAGAAGATCATTATTTCAAATTTAACATATACCAGTGGAAAACTGCTCAAGACATGGCATGAAAGTTTTGAAAACAAATTCTTTAGGAAATTGATGAATGTTAAATAAGATAAATTCAAGAAAGGCACAGAAATATGAGAAATATCTGGACGACCAGACTGTTGTATCAACAGATATAAGGTGGCAATATTTTGGGCATCGGGGTCTGTGGCTTAGATGTTGTGAACATGATTCATAATGCCAGCAAGCATGGTTCGATCCCAACTGCAGGTGATTTAGCAGCAGACTGTCTTGCATTTGTTTTGACAGTGGTACCAAGAGTCAACTGTTCAAAAAAGCAGTGGCAAACTACTGAATGTGAATTTGCCTAGAAACACTATAACAGCCACACACAAGAAATGCTGGAGTTGGTTCTGCAGCTTCCTGTAAAGGATACACAGCTAACTCAAATGTATTGGGCACATCTGTCGGGAAGGAGACAGTGTCACCACTGAAGAGGAAGAGTTGAAAAGGAAACTTCTATCTTGTCTATTTACACCCAGATTAAAAAATTCCTGCAAGCTTTTTTTTTTCTTTTATCAGGGGAAAGAGAGTTGCAGGAAAACATGCCAGTTCGGTCTCAATTAAAAACACCAGATGGAAAACGGCCTTCCATATTCTTGAGGTACAAAGAAAAGAAGGACAGTGCTGTCATGAAAGTTTATCCAGGCGGTCTGAGGTGAAATATTTGTTGTTATATGTGTGTGTTTGTAACCGTCTTATTGTTGTTGTAGTTCGTATCGATAGCTGTCTTACTGTTAATCTAGTTGAATAGCTATAGCTGCTGTACTGTTTGTAGTTTTGTATCCATAATTGTCTTACTATTGTTTTAGTTTTATATCCATAACTTCTTACTGTTGTTGAAGTTGTGTATCCATATGTAGTTTATAGCTGTCTTGCTATTGCTTTACTTTTTTATCCATAGCATTCTTTGGATGTTTTCTCCAGGTCATGCCGGTGTGTGTGGGAAATGAGCAGGCAGATATACTGGCCAGTTCTGCACCACTTAGTGGTGAACTGATGTATGACAGCTGGATGTTGTGAGGGCTCTTTGGGAGCGAGTGAACAGTGCCGAGGCACAGATAGATCATTACGGTCTGAGGAAAATGACACTGAGGAATTACAAGGGCATCTGGCCGACGCTGGACACTTAGGAAAAGTTCAAGACGGATATACAGACAGTTACTGGTACCATTGGAATTTGAACTCTTCGCTTGCTGCTGAAAGACGGGGATAGAGCGCTTATGGGGGTGTCCCGAGTACTGTGATGTCGATTCTTTATTAAAGATTAAATCTTCAACTTCTTTATCCATAACTGTCTACTATTGTTGTAGTTCTTTATTCATAACTCATACTTGTGTATTAGTTTTATATCCTTAACTGTCATACCATTGTTATTTCATATCCCTGTTTTAACTTTTGTTATATGTTTTTTGTTCTTCTTCTCATTGGCTATTGATCTAGTGATATTAGCAAATAAAGTCTTTTTTCTGGATGTATCTTGCTATTTTTTTTATTAAACTTGTTAACTGTAGATCATATACAGAAGTCTATGAAAGACTATTGTCCGTGCTGGCATCTACTACACAAGCGGGCGCCCAAGGAGAAAATGAATTAGGGACATTTAACGACATCATACACTCACATGTTTTGACATTGTTCAGTGCTAACATTTGAGCATTCTTGACCACTGTGTGTTCCTCCCCATGATATTTAATGGCAGAAGTGGAAGTTGATGGGGATGATGATGACGACAGCTGGATGAAGAGGGGGTGGTAAAAGGTTGTTATGCCCAAACGACTTTTTTAATGTGTTTACTGTCTGACTTTCTGAACATGTTTATTGGGTCTGTGTTTCAGGGTCAGCTGTAGCTACAAAAATATTGTAGTCAATAAAGATACAACCACAGAGGAGGTGATTTTAACTTCGCTGAGAAAGTTTGGTGTTGAGGTGAGCCAGTGCTAAATTTGTTTTGCATGTCATCTTGCCAGATGATATGATTATTCATGATTCTATCCACAAATCTAACTCTTTTAGTCTTCTTCCTCCTCTTCTTCTTCTTTGAATTATTATTCAAATAATGCGTATTATTTCCAACATAGAACTCCGACTCTACAAGAGCATCATTTTGCCAGTTCTTCTTTATGGAGGGGAATGCTGGAGAATGTCCAAAAAGGATGCACACAAACTGTCCACCTTCCACCACACATGTCTATGTAGAATTATGAAAATTTTCTGGCCAGATACAATCTCAAACACTAAACTACTTCAAGCCACATACCAAGAAACTTTAGACAGTATGATTACCAAGAGAAGATGGAAATGGCTTGGCCACGTGATGAGAATGACTTCTGATATACCTGCCAAAACAGCTCTCACATGGACACCAGAGGGAAAGAGAAAACAGGGGAGCCCAAAAACAACATGGAGACGAACGATGGAAAGTGACCTGAGTGTGGCATCTTTGACATGGAAAACTGTATTGAAGATTGCACAGGACAGGAAAGCATGGAAAGTCCTCTCTGAAGCCTCATGTGCCACTAGGCATAACGAGAACTGATGACTGATGATGATTTCCAACATAGGGCCAAAGAAAACTAAGAAAGAAGAGAAATAGAAAATCACAATTGAAATTAAGAAAGAGATTGGGGAAAATATGAGAAAGGAGACAGGCAAACTGATTTGTGTAAGCAGTGTAACTTTTTCAGATCCACCATAGCTACAGGTTTCTAGAAAGTAGATTTTTGCAAGGAACTGGATGTGGCCAAAGAAATATCTGTTGAGGTGTTTCAAAGTAAAAATGTATAGAAGAAATGGAAACTTTACCACTCATCTGAATTAATGACATTTAACTGAAAGCAGACAATGTATTTCAAAGTGTGATCTGTTTAAAAGCTGAAGCTATATTTACAGAGATCTATCACATAACTTTCCATCCAATATCAGTATTAAAGATATCAGTGAAGAGTTTATGTATTCTATACATTTTGTTGTTGAGGTGATGATGTTAATGTCAGATGATGAGGGACTTTAGAATACCAAAGAAGTTAATTACCATGACCAAACTATTTATGGAAGACACTTGTAATATAGTAATGTATAGAGGCAGAAAGTCAGACCCTTTTCAAAAAACATCTGGTTTAAAGCGAGGTGATGCTCTATAATACTTCTTTTCAACTTGGCACTGGAGAAATTTATAAGGAAATTAAGACAAAATATACTATAGGAGAATATGCAAGAATACTTGGTTATGCAGATGACATTGATATCGTTGGAGAAAATTAACTAGATACTGACTCTCTTGAAAAAAATCAGCTCAGAAAATTGGACTAGTTATCAATCAAGATAAGATGGAATATATGATAATAACTAGACAGGGAAAGGATATAAACTCTGGCTACATACAAGTTGATAATATGACAATCAAATGAACGTAAACATAGAAGTACTTGGGTGCAAACTTCAACTGCTCTGACATGCTGAGAGAAGAAATACAATCTAGAATACAATCTGGAAATAAAGTATACTTTGCCCTTCAACATCTGCTAAAGTCAAAGTGTCTGTCTCGCAACATCAAGATCAAAATATATAAAACATTGAAAAGACCTGGAATTTTTTTCGGCACAACTTTGAGCACAACTAAAAGAGATAAAAGCCTTGTTACAGGTTTTTCTAAACAGTCTTACGAAGAATCTTTGGATCCATCAAAGATGCAAACAGAAGAGAATGGTGAGTTAGAAGCAACAATGAAATTCATGATTTGTTTAAATCACCATTGATCACTGGCGTCATGAGAGCTAATAGTCTGAAATGATTAGGGCATATTGAAAGAATGTCAGATGACAGAGAAGTAAAAACTGTATATAACAGGGAAATGAATGGTCATAGACCACAAGGCTGACCAAGAAGATGATGGAAAGATAATGTCCAGACAGACCTGCAAACACTTGGTGTCACCAACTGAAAAGAGAACGCCAACCAGAGAGATGAATAGAGTCGAGTGATATCTGCAGCAATGAATCTCAAGTAATTGGAATGCTGAAGAAGAAGAAGATATATTTTGTTGGCAAGATTTCCTATAAACATGTATATTTCACACTGTGTTCAGGATAAAGACCCAGAGAGCTTTGATCTGATAGAGGTGTTGTTGGACAAGGGTGTCACAGAGAGAAAAGTTGACCGCAACACCAAACCATTTCAGATCATTGTTCAGAGCAGAAAGGTGAGTGCTTGTACCACTGTTTTTATGTCTAGTCTGTATACTCAGAGGTACTTGTGTGACAATTTGATGTTTAGTTTTTATACTCAGAGGTATTAACATTTTGATGTTTAGTTTTTATACTCAAAAGTGTTACAATTTAATATTTAGTTTTTTTGTTTTTTTTTTAACTCAGAGTTATTACAGTTTGGATTTTTTATGCATAAAGATGTTACTGTGATGTTAAGATGTTACAGTGATGTTTTATTTTTATACCCAAAGGTTTTACAGTTTGATGTTTATTTTTATACACAAAGGTGTTACAGTTTGATGTTTATTTTTTTTTAAAACCCAAAATTGTTACAATTTGATGTTCAATTTTTAAACCTAATGATGTTACAATTTAATATATAGTTTTTATACTCAGAGGTGTAACAATTTGATGTGTAGTTTTTATACTTGAAGGTATTACATTGTTTAATGTTTAGTTTTAACTCATAAGGCTGATGCATTGGGACTAGGTTACTGGGGCAGAGATGGTAGAGTTGACTTTTCTTCTGATAAATCTTCAAAGTACCAGTAATTGTCTTGCAGAGTTTTCTTGACCCTCAACAATCTCAAAAACCTGTAAAGTGAGCAAGTTCTGTGCTTGAACTCCACATTTGCCAATTAGAACAGCAGTTCTCAATCTGTGGGTCGAACAACCCTTTCACAGGGGTCGCCAAAGGCCATAGGAAAATACATATTTACCGAAGTTATGAAGTAGCAACGAAAAAAATTGTATGGTTGGTGGGCGCCACAACATAAGGAACTATTAAAAGGTCGCCGCATTAGGAAGGTTAAAAGCTACTGGGTTAGGATGTATTATATATTACCCGTGTGGGTTCCGGGGCCCTTTTATAGGGAAAACAAGAATAGACCCACTGCCTACCCAAAAGCATGTCGTAAGAGTCAACTAATTGGGAGCTTCCTTCGAAGTCGGAGTGCATCTGCCTGAGAGGCAAGGAACCAGCAGTCTGCATGCCAATGAGTCAGATCTGTAAAACGGATGCACACGCAACACTCCGGTTCTGGAACAGGACTGCAGTCCAGAATTGGACGAACAACCAGAACTTTCTGCCGGAGTTTACAGCTGGTTAAGGTGAAGAATAAGAAGAAGAATGTATTATTCAGCAGATAATATATGGATTGGCTGGCATTAGGTCTTAGCTGATCTTGATTCCTCCAGATGTGTTTAGATGTTTCATAATTTACCAGGTGCACAATAGAATGTCTCTTTATGAGAAAACAAAATGGTTTTACTGCCTGTATTTACCATTTTTTCAAAGTGATGTAGGATGGGTGGAGGGGGGCAGTGGGGTGTCTTGAGCCTGGAGATTGGGGGCACATGGATAGTGCAGTCACCATGAACTTTGTAGGTTGGGGTGTTTTTAGGGAGTCCCAAAGACGGTAACTTTTTAATTCCCATACAGAGAATTCAGACTCAAGTTTCCCAAATGAGAGGTTAGTATTCTGCCTGGTAAGCTTCTCGTGGGAAATATGTGAATCTGATACGTGCGGTTCTTCATTGTGACGTGCAGAGCTTCATGCTGATGTGTGTGGTACCAAGATGAAATAGGCCAAGTAGGGGTAAAACAGTAGTTACTTCAATGCTTTCAAAATGTAGAGCTCGAACGCTATGCGTTAAGTTCCAATGGTTGTATTGATATATACAATCAGCAATGATCAACACAAGAATACGTATGCAATCAATAATCAACTCGTTCAACCAAAGCTCACTCGTACATCCATGGATGGATATGTCCTTACGATAGGTCGCAGTCCGACCTTGAGATCATGACAATCATCTTGGTCCTCGGACAAGTCCGAATTAAGCAATGAAAGTATACCGGCATACTGCCGAGAATGTAGTGCTCACCAGCTTCCTGCTGAGGTCTATCTTGGAATCCCGGGGTAAAACGTCCTCAAGGATCCAACTTTATATAACGTTTGCTTCCGTGGGATCCCGGGGTAAAGCGTCCTCAAGGATTCCCACGTCCGTCTCCTTCGGACTATAAACATCAACTGCTTTGACAACAATAAATCATAACAACGTTACGTATTGTTTTGACGTCTTATTTGCTCACTCCGTACTGGTGCGTTCTGGTGCACATTCGCACGCGACAGAATCTTAAAAGAAAATAATATAAGTGAAAAGACATGCTTATTTTCATTATATCTGTGTTTCATTTGGAATTATTCACTACCAGATTCCTTTTCATATTTGTGTATACTTCTTGTTGTATTGCATTGATTGCTCACCACATGATTCTTCTTCTTCTCATCCTGTTCTCCCTTTCAGCATCAGGATATGAAGAGGCACTAGTTGTGAGCCGTGGAATGTGCTTTGTAGATGCTGTTTTTTACAGCCTTAGATATTCCATCTGTCCATCACTTGTGTGGTTGACCTCTAGCTATGCTTCTATTATGTCTAGTGACAGGGCTGTCTGTGGTGCATTATCTGATGGCAGTCTTGACACATGTCCGAACCATTTGATCTGTTGTCTCTTAATGTAGTTTAGTACTGGTTCTGTCCCAACCTCTTTCCTGATAGTGTCATTTCTGATCCTGTCTTTTCTAATTACTTCTAAGATTTGTTGTAGACATTCCATATTTTTGGTTCAATTTTTCAATTTTCTTTTGTTGTTAATGTCCACATTTGGCACTGGTAAAACAGTGTCAGTTAAAAAAAATACTGTATTGAATAGTGATCGTGATGAGTAACACAAAAACTATATTTATAATCATCAGGAGTCCCTGCGGCAGAACCGCATGACCAGGTTTTACCTGCAGCAGAAGGAGGACCCGCATGGACCCAGTATATCCCTGTATGTGGGTAATCTGCCCACTGGCTTGTCCCAGAGACAGTATGAGAAGATTCTCCTGGATATCATTGGCCGAGGTATGTTGTCTGTATCTGTCTGTCTGTTTATGTCTGTGTTTACCAATATGTTTGTTTACCATCCATCCATCCTTTCCTTCATCTGTCTATCTGTCTGTTTAATCTATATGTCATATATCTACTACCAGACTCTGCCAATTATGTGCTCATCAGTCTATCTATGTGTTTACCTGTTTAACCAAGTATCCATTCTCTCAGCACCAGACCCACCCATCCATCTAAAGTTATGTTAAAGTTGAGAGGATGACTTCATAGCACAAAGTTTATCCCAGAGGGCTCAGTCTCTCTTTGAGACATGGAAACTTCATTTCTCCAGCAACGATCCCTATATATCACTACACAATCTTTTGAATTAACCCATGAATTTCAACATGTAAGGTAAACAGCTTGACCACTTTGCCACAGAGACCACAACCAATCCACCTTCCATCCATTTATCCATCCATCCACCCATTGTGTGAAACAAACCTAAAAGGGTACTTTCCTAATATCCTACCCCAAACGGGGGAAATCCACAGGTCACGGGACAGTCTAGTATTTCAGGGAGTGGTAGATAGGCTGCATGCAGTTGTGGCACCTAGGCTGCATGCAGTCGTTGGACCTAGGCTGCAGTCTATCATGGGGCGTGTGTGGGTTGGGATTAAGGCCAGTTCTAGATGTTTTGGGGTCGTTAAAAGCATCAAATAGTCAGGAAATCCAATCTTAGCACCCTCTAAAAATGTTGGACCGGCCTGCGGTGTCATCTGGGGTAGGATATTATGAAAGAACCACCTAAAAGTTGTTCACACTCCTGTGCTCCTCTTCTACAGAGAACAAGTGGGACAGATTTGATGGCATATACTATGAGTATGGATCACTGGTCTTAGTCTACACAAAACCAGAGCTGGCAACCACAGTGTTCAATCTGCTGCAGGAGGCCACCTTTGATGACAAGCAGTTGCTGGCTCTATTGTTACCTAATATACAAGTATGTACTGTTCATATTTTATTAATTTAAAACACACCTGATCTAACTCCTGTAGTGCCACTGTTTAGGGGGATCTTTCCATACCAGACATATATTATTTAACTCATTCTATACCAGAAAGTGTTCACTTTAATTACTCATGTTTGGGTCAGAATAAGTTAAAATATTCACACAATGAGAGAGGATGAGTTGAAAATAATAGTATGCCCAGAAGGGGGTGTTTGACAAACGGTTGTGGTTTAAGAAGTTGTAAGTATTAATCAACAAATGCATGGTGAGTTGCTTGGTAGGAAAAGAGTTTAGACCTGTGGTTTAAGTCCACATGGCTTGTGGAGTCACCACATACTGTGTAGTTTATGATGTTTATTTTGTCCCCCACAATAGAACACAGGTTTATAGCCTTACACAGACTTTGGACACAGGCCTCCCACATGAGAGCATTGCATTCTGACCACTATGCCAGCTTCTCCTCGACTGTTTATGTATCATTTCATTTTGTTATGTTTATGTTGTTACTTATATATGTATATTACATCAGAAAAGAAATTAGATGGATAATATTGCATCCTTACCTGCACATCAGGCTGTCTGTAAATTAGTTAAAAGATTTCTTTATGAAAGGTTGTAGATGACTTTACATTGGTAGTCAAGGTTTCAACTTTACTGATTTGATTTGATTTTATTCAAGAACCGACATCACAGCACTCTGGGCATTCCCATAAGCGCTCCGTCCTCATCTTCAGCAGACAGCAAAGAGTTCCGATACCAATGGTGCCAATAGCACTCTGATTAAACGTCCGTCTTGCCTTTCCCCTGAGCCTCGAGCATCTGCCAGAACCTCTCGTCACTCCCCCCTGCATCAGTTTCACCAGACTGTGGTGATCCATATGCTCCTCCGAACTGTACATGCTCTCCCACAAGGCACTAACCACGTCTGCCCTATCATGTATCAGTATCCCACAAAGTTGTGCAGAGCCAGCCAGTCTGTCTGCCTGTTCATTTCCCAACACACTGGCGTGCCCTGGTGAAAAAATCCAGACAATACTCCTCACCCGTGTCCTCCGCAGCGATCAACTTTACTGAAAATGGATCATCCTCTAATTGCTCCAGTCTTGTGCAAGTAAAAATCTCACAAAATGCCCCACCTTCCTCCCTCTTTTTTTCCATGTCCCATTTGAAAAACTAAAAAACACTAATAATCCTGGCAAAATCTAGAAACATATGCAACAAATGCATAAGGCAGCCTCTAGAGGTGCCAGCATCAAAAATTGAAATTTTGTTGTTAATGGAAGTTGTCAGTATGAACATTGCTTTTCCCCCCCATCTTCTGCCTTTTGTCGCCCAGTGAAGCATAGGCCTTCACACAAATCGTGCAAAGTCAATCTATCCTTGACTCATTCAGCTTGTTTTCTTCTGCAGCCTCACATGATTCCAGACTATGTGAAACCCTTGATGATTTTTGTCAATGTCAAAAGTGGTGGATGTCAGGGACTAGATCTGATCACCTCCTTCCGAAAACTCCTCAACCCTCATCAAGTCTTCAACCTGGAGAATGGGGGACCTCTACCAGGGTAGGTGAAACCTAAAGATGTAAGGTTAGATTTTGATCTTTCAGAGCTCTGGAAGGACAGCAAGTCCTGGAGAATGGAGAAACCCCTACCAAAATAGATCAAACATAGAAATATAAAGTCTTCAGCAATGAGGAGACAACAGGTTATAGAGAGCTGGAGACTTTTACCAGGGTGGGTAAAACACAGAAATATGATTTCAGATATTGAACTTTAAAAGCTGCAGAAAGCACCAAATCCTGAAGGATGAAGTATCTTCACTAGGGTGGGTAAAACATTACAGTTATAAGGACAAACTATATTCCTACAAGTATGGCACACTTATTTTCTTAAATGTCAGGTCTAAAAATATTGTCTTATACAAGTTGCCATGAGAGATTAATAAAATCAATGGAGGAAAACTTCTGGGGGACAATCTGACACTAGCAGGTAGTGTGATGAAACCAACTATAGGAGACAATTGTACCTAGGTGAAAAGATCCTGGGATCATCTGAAGATTGAGATTGTTGTCAAGTCATTCAAGAAGTGTGCCATTTCACAGATGGATCTGAGAATATAAAGCAATATATGGACAGTGATTGGTCATCAGACAAGCTAAAGAACTATTATGTGGATGAGAATTTAGACAGTGATGATAAGTTTTCTGGATGCGGTGATGAATAAAATGTGAGTTCAATAACTTTATATAATCATATTTTTTCCTCTAAATTCCTTTTCCAAAAATCAAGGTGTGTCTAGTACATGTGATTGTCTTATACTTAGGGAAATACGGTACATTGACCTTTGAGAGCAGACAAAGGGCATGCAGAGGTGTGTCACCACCTGTAATGGTGGACCTGAACCAGAGCTCATAGTGGCGAAACATATCTACATCTTTTACATGGTCATCCTACAGATGGATCCTTTACCAGGGACCTAGCTGACATAAATAACACTGATGCTTCCTTCAGAGTTGAACCATGTCTGCTTGAGAGGTCAGGAACTAACAGTTTGCACATGAAATTCTAATTGAGTATGACCTGGAGGGTTCAGGGAGGTTAGGTGTGAAGGCAGTGGCTTGAAGCATTACAGAAGTCCACTGTGTGTGGAATCACTTTATTTTCCTTCTGGGTGACATGGGCGTCGATGGAAATAAAAGAGCTATTAGGTTGGCTGGATCTGCTGTCACTACCAACAGTCAAGCTATGGATCATGCTGATATTATTAATGCCCACTTAGAAATGGGAAGAGTAGAGGACTTTGAGGGCAGTGAATCCACATCACTCGCCATAATGATAGACTTGGGATTTGAGATCCACATACATAGCAAACAACAAGATGCACACTGGTCACATAAGAGAACTTGGTAATCAACATAGAACTGGTACTATTAGCCACCAGACGCTGGGGTTCATACTGAGGGGAACATCTGAGCACCTTTGTACATTTCTGGAGTTCAGTGATGATAACCAAACTAACTAATTCCAAATCTTGAGAAAAGGGGGGAGGGGGGGGGGGGGGAGCATGTGCATGCAACATTCAAGTCCTGATATAAGATAAAAGCCAAATGAGCTATCAGGGCTTTCCTCCAGAATGGACACTCAGGAAATTCATTAAAAGAAGACAGGTATAGAACATCAAATGTATATGCTGATTGATTACTACAGTAATGCACCTGACAGGAAAAATGAAATATTTAAAAATCTTAAAGTTTTAAATTGTTTGCAGTCTGTACAATGAACACTGGCTGTAGTACAACCTCTGCTTTCTTTGGGAATATTATATGGTGATGCCTCAATCTCTTCCACAGTGCAACTCTTTTAAAACTATCTGAATCTCACAAGAAAGTTTTTTTTTTTAAATCTGTGTAAATTGAACCCTAGTACTCAGCGATTGTGAAATTGTAAATTACATTCACTAACCTTTAGGTCAGACAGCCACACACAAGCAAATATGACAGCTTCGCAGCCACATGTACAAAAAATTTTAGGTTGGAAAATCAGCCATGTGCACATGTGGATTGGCACCTTAGACAACAGATCATGTCCTCCAAGACTGTCCCAAGCACAACATATCAAGACAAAACTTTTGGTCAAGAGAAACACCGGTGCAAGTCAAACTGGGTGAATTACAAAAGACAATGAAGGTTATACTAGAGACAACAATGCAGATATAGATAATTTATTTCAAGTGAACGAAAAAAGAAAATGATAGGCAATACATGATTTTATATATTATTTGTGTCATCTTAGTTTGTTTTGTTTAAATTGACTACAGAGAAACATATGTATTAATTCTTGAATGCTATAAATTTTATGTTGCAGGTTATATGTATTCCGAAATATTCCATACTACAAAATTCTGGTATGTGGTGGTGATGGGACTGTCGGGTGGGTTCTCTCCTGTCTTGACAATGTGGGTCAGGATGCCGAGTGCCAGTCTCCACCCATGGCTATTGTCCCACTTGGCACAGGTAGGAGAGTGTTGTCATGTATACATTTTTTTATCACAAGATTTAAATTGTCAAAAATTTGTTGAGTTGAATTAGGAACATTCATTAACTGGCTCCTGGCAGATTAGAGGAAATTAAATGGTATGATAGAATCTAATCACTAATGTTGAGCTTTGGGAGAGAACTAAACAAGTTCCAGTGGACCAAAAGATGAAGAAAAGTTGTTGGTGCTGGATAGGACACACATTGAGAAAACCTGACAACAATATAACTAGAATGTCTTCGTACTGGAACCCACGGGCATAGAAATAAAGGAAGACCCAAAAAACACATAGGGAAGGGAGTTGGACAGCGAAGTTGAAAAGACAGGGAGGATATGGGGTGATTTGCATGTGATGGCGAAGGATAGAATGACTTGACGTAAGTTTGGTGAGTGCCTATGCTCTGTTATGGGTTAGAAAGGCAGAAGAAAGAAGTGTTGAATTGGGAACTGACATCACCCTTTCAGAACATTCCCTTAAGCTTTCTGTCTCCATTTTGAGCTGCTAGTTCCAGTACTGATGGCAACAGTAGTAGTTCTCCATCTTGCCTTTCCTCTGAGTGTAGAGAGCCGGCAGCTAGACTAGATCCCCCTGGCCAGCCCTAGCTGTACCATTCACTCCTTCCTGGAATGATCTAGCCAGAAATATAAACACTAACTATAAGGGGAGCCACGGCCATGCAGTGGCCAGACACTTGCCTGCCAGCCTGAAGAACTTGGGTTTATATCCACACACCGCGAAAAAAATTGTTATTGGCCATGACTACCAGGTTGATCCAACCTCAGATGAGTACAAGGAAATGTCCTGGGAAGGAAAGGTAGCTGTCATGATGCTGACCGAATCACCCATTGAGTGTCAGTAAATGAATAGAAGTATGAGTCTATCTTCATATGCCTTATCTTCATATGCCTTATCTTCATATGCCTTATCTTCATATGCCTTATCTTCATATGCCTGATGCACCAATGGTGTGAAAGGAATACTGAAGGAAATAGATGCCATAATCTTACTAGAAGGTTACATTAACATTTACGTACATTAGTTGCCTGTTCATTGGGTTTGCACTCATTTTAAAAAATACATATTGTCATTTTTTGTTTCATATAAAAACTAGTTATTACCTCTTTCACCTGCAAAAATCTGTTTAAAAAAAATTTACCCTTTATAAAATCTGGATAAAAATAAGCACATTTATGTAATTTTGGCACACTGGCAAGCCTGCTAGCTGATGCATCATTGATACCCCCCCCAGATCACTTAACAAGATGAATCGTTCATAGTTAGGAGTGTATTTTGTGTGTTGTTGTGCATTGGTAATTTTTTTTTTTTTTTTTTTAGTATATATACAATGGGGAGTAATCAGTAAATACAAACCAGACAAAGAAAAATCCTCTTTTCTTCTCTTTGACCAAGAAAATAAGGTTTTTGTTGACACAGAGACATCATCATAGGATTATAAAAATGTCAGAATGACAAACAAATTGATTTATTTTTTCACCCTAAATATCTCAACGATTTAAAAAAAAAAAAATATCTTGTATATTCATACCCACTATATCAACACACTGTTTAGTTACAGCCAGTACAAAGGCTGTTAAATAGGATTATTGACCACTGCCAAAAGACATCATGTCATCAAAAACCCGCAAAAGAAGGAAAAACTGGCTTTCTCAGAGTGACAAGATTAAAACATGTTCAGACATGTAAATATTTGTGTGGAAGACAAGGGAACACTAGTTACTTTTCCTTAATTTCCCAAGGTTAAGCTTCATAACATTCACAAAGATTGTTGAGTGAAAATTTTTTTTAGACCAGGCCTAATTTGGAATCTAACATGAACTTATATTGAGACACTTTCTGGTGGTATGTGACAGTATGCAGTACCAGCACAGTGCTATTATTAAAGAAATATGATAGTCTTCTTCTTCTTCTTCTTCTTCTTTGCATTCACTGGCTATAAACTTCTGCGTGAAGCTCTAGTTGTTCATCCACCTATGGACTCTAGTCCTGTTTCAGATACTGAGTGTTGCATGCACATCCATTTCACAAGTCTGACTCTTTTGCATGCAGACTGTTGGTTCTTTGCCTCTCAGGCAGATGTACTTTGACTTTAAAGGAAGCTCCCAATTAGTCTACTCTTACGAGATACTTTTGGCAGACAGTGGTCTTTTCTTATATTTGATAGTGAGTACTGACACTTTTTTTTTTTTCTCACTTTGATGTGAGTATGTGCACTTTTTGTTTAGTCTTGACCTATTTTGACCAAGTAATTTGGATTTTTGTCAGCCTTTCTAATAAGAAAAAAAACTGTCTTTCCAGGCAATGATTTAGCCAGGGTGTTGCGGTGGGGCCCTGGCTACACAGGTGGGGAAGATCCTCTGAATGTACTTCGTGATGTCATAGATGCAGAAGAGATCAAACTCGATCGGTATGTTATGTTTTTTTTTTCTTTCTCAGTGATTTCCCAGTTTAACCTAAACTGGTTACTAAGAGTGGTTCTTGGGAAGTAAAGGCAGCTGACCTGTTGATGATTGGTCTGTACCAATATTGGTCTGTGATTATGCTTCTTCTTAGCTTTCACTGGCTGTAAACTCCAGGGGAAAGTTCTGGTTGTTTGTCCACTCCTAGACTTCGGTCTTGATCCAAAACTTCAGTTTTGTTTGCACATCTGTTTTACAGGTATGGCTTATTTGTAAGCTGACTGTTGGTTGCTGTCCACCAGAGAGCTATAACCGCCAAAGTTTCACAAAGTATTTTGCAGATCTGTCCAAATAACCTCCATCTCCCTTCTTTGATAATGCTTGCCAGATATAACGATTCTGCCCCTTCCAGTTCTTCATCCATGATCCTGCCTGGCCAAAATATTTGCAGAATTCTATTGAAGACATTTGTCTTGAAAAGTCTCCAGTTTGTGTGTAATTTCCAAACACCCGCTGTTGTACAGTAGTAGTCCCAGAATTTTGCTGTTGTATATTTTAAGCCCTGTTTTCAAACCAAGTGTCCCTGACATCCATAAACTCATGCGCAGTAAATGTCTGGCTTGCTTTATTTGCTATTGATGCCACATCATCTTTACAATTGCCATTTATTGTAACTTTACCTCAGAGGTATATAAAGTCTTCAACTTCTACTGCTTTTTTTGTTAATAACAGTCATCTCCTTGTGGGATTCAATTTTTCGTTATTTTGAAGCCCCACCCTGGCTCTTGCCAGGGGCCCCAATATAGCCTGGCCATAAAAATGGTCTAATGGCTGAAGAACGTGGTTTCTGGGACCTCTCCACGGGTGATCCTCATCCACATAATGGCACTTTGTGTCATCAGGTGTTAATCACTTGTGTGATGTCCTAGTTGGATAAAATGTACTCCTACTGCTGCTGCTTCATTGTTCGAGATAACTGGATGTTCTGCTCACTAGCTTACTATTCAGTTCTAGTATAGAAAGCATGTGTTGTTATATTGTTGTTCTTTCATCATGAGTGATGAAGACCGGTTTTCATCCAAAGTAGTAATGATCAATGATTATGAGTAAGACGGTGGCTGATTAGTTTAATATGAGCTTGGAAAGTTCTTGAGCAGTGTGGTCAACAGGTGGAAACTGCAGTCAGTGTGGGATTACTGATATGGTTATTTCTTGTCTGCCTCTGTTTCTCTGCTTGTGCAACCTCCACTGCCTGGCAGACTGATGCACCATGCATGAGGGATGTACGCTATCCAGAACGGTCCTGTGCAGCAGCCTCCCATGTTACCCTGTTGATGCCAAAATAACAGAACCTCCCCCTCCCCCCCCCCCCCCCCCAAAAAAAAAAAACAGCACACAAGCAAACATTGAATATCACCTTCTAATATAAGCTTTTTGGCATCCCCAGCTGGACCGTCATTTTTCACCCCAATGAGAAGGAGCAGGACGAAACCAAAGTAGCCATTGCTAACGATACTAACAGTGCTAGCACAACAGAGGACCCGACCAGCATCTTTGTCATGAACAACTACTTTGGGATTGGCATTGATGCAGAGCTTTGTCTGGACTTCCACATGGCAAGAGAAGAGAAGCCAGATAAGTTTAACAGCAGGTAAGTAATTCTGATCTTAACATTTTACCAAACAATTTAATTATTCAACATCATCAGATTCCACTCTCAAAGTTGTCATGGAGTGAGCAGTTTGCAGTCCAGGTTTAATTGAGTAGCACTGGCTATTGTCATTGTGTGTAGATGTATGTTATCATTCCATCTTTATCTTGGGTGTCCCAGTTGAGTAGCACTGTTGTTGTCTGAGTGTATATATGTTTTTATTCTTATAATTTCATCTTTTCTTTGTGTGACTTCTTGTTTTCACATCAGATTTGCTCCAACAGATGACTTTAATTGCATACACACAAGACAAGATACATCTCCATAGCCTGCTCCCATAAACCACACAAGGATACGCTACCTATTTCAAGCTTGATAGTAACTCAATCACAAGATGTCTGGGTTGATATGCAAATATTATTCTAGAAAGAGTCACATTAACTATTATAATTTACTAAATACACAGCACTGGTGATATTGTTGCCTGTGTCCACACACAAACTCTTTGTATTGGTGTAAGTTGCCAGTTGTACTTTTTTTTTTTTTTTTAGTATTTGTTTTCTGGCATATCATGAAGAATAATGAAAATCCTGCAAGAGTAACTGTTGGTTTTTGTTTTTATTTCAGGTTACACAATAAAGGTGTATATCTGAAAATGGGCTTGCGGAAGATGGTGAACCGCAAAACCTGTAAGGATCTCTACAGGTACATCAAGGTGGAGATTGACGGCAAGCCCATAGAACTACCTCCCGTAGAGGGCATTATAATTCTCAATATACTCAGGTACAGCATGTGAGAGACATGGTTTTGTAGAGTAGATTTGGACTTTTCACTGTTTATATTTGTTCCTTGTGTGTGTTCTAGGGTACTATTTTGAGGGAGGAAAGAATAGATCCTTTGCCTCCTAACAACTATGTCATCATAATTAGGAGTTTTCTAAAATGGGGTGTGTTGGCCAAAAGGTCTACATGTGCATATTGCAGCATATCTGTAAACAACAGCACAGCATGCCAAATGCCATTTTAACTCTTTTAGTCCTGTAAAGTTTCATAATAGAATTTCAGTAGGACTAAAAATCGCAAAAACCAATTGTATTACAATCACTGTTTAAAAAATGTGATCGGCAGTGGAAGGGTGTCGAGAGTCCCAGAGTGGATAGATGCTTTTGTGATGAGTAGGAGTTTTAATCTCAACACTTCACCTTCACCAGAGAAACTGGACTTATATCCAAGCTATGTGGATCTCAGACAAAGTCCTGGAAATATAAGAAAATGGCCATATTTAGCTCATCATGTATAAAAAATTGGTCTAGCCCTATATGCCTTATACGCCTGAAAGCATGGAAAGGGTCCTTTACAATCATTTAAATGATTTTCGTCATTTAAAACTAGTTGAATAACCAGTGACTGGCTTATGGTATGGTGCTAATGAATTGCTTCAGCTAGAGAACTGAGCTCTGAGATTAGAATGATGTTCTTGTGGTGATGATAGGTTTACAAACAAAATATGTAACTTTTGACTCAAGTTTTAAGGAATTGCTCAGTGCTCTAAATGTGAACAGCATGAAATGTGATTGGTGATATTACAGATGACGTATTAGTCACACATCAAACATCAGTCACATTATGTGTTGCTTGGGACTGAAAGAGTTCAGGGAGAATGCAGTAGACAAATAAAAAATTACCCAAGTGATGTTTTTTTTTAAACTTGAGGTTAGAAGAATGGTTTCATTGCAACAATGGCTCAATCTCTCTTTCTATAGAGTGGCTAGCTGCCTGGGAAGAGTGTTGTACAAAACACAAACTCTGTAGCTCCAGTGACGACAGATTTTGAATTAGTCTTTGGAGCAGCCTTACAATAAGAGTCTCCATCGACATATGTTTGAACCAAGGTTTGTCAGGAAATTTGGATGACAGACATTTTAACCTGGATTTGTCATTAAGTGGGGTACTTGGCCCACAGATTTCATTCATATTCCAAATGAGTTTTCCACCCATGCCCAGGGGGTGGGCTTTTGAATGCCAGGGGTTTTTGGCACTGCATCTCTGGGAGCTACCAGCTGAGATACCCTGCAAGCTTGGTTATGACCAATCTAGGCCATTATCTGTAGCTTAAGAGGACGTGTGGTAGGAGTCTTGCATGAGGATTCATAAAACCAGCACAAAGCCTGCTGGTGTCTAAGGTGAGGTACGGAGTATCTGCTTATGTACAACACAGCTGCTTTAACTTTCTCTCATGCCTCTGACTTAAATCACTGCTCTGTGTATGTGGGTGTGCATGCACACTCTCACACCTACCCACACTTGTGTGTACACTCATGCACTCAGTTTAAAGTCTACCAGTTTTAAGTACATCAAAAAAATATGTGGATGATTTGGCCATAAGGATTCGTGAGGGGGGGTGAGACAAGAGCCCTGACCTGATCTGTGATTGTGGTGATCATGTGAGATAGCAAAACCTTACTGCTGGTGCTTATCAATAGGGAAAACTATGAAGATTAATCTTTTTATTTTACTGTTTGTTTTCAGCTGGGGCTCAGGTGCCAACCCCTGGGGCCCAGAGAGAGAGGACCAGTTCAACAAGCCAACCCATTACGATGGCAACTTGGAGATTGTGGGGGTCACAGGCGTGGTTCATATGGGCCAAATTCACAGTGGTTTACGTCATGGTATTCGCATAGCACAGGGAGGGCATGTAAGTGTGTCTGTCTGATGTTTATGTGTGTTTTAGTCTTAGTCGAGGTTTGAACTTCACTGCAGTCTGCCCCACTTGCTCCATTTCTGTGCCAGTGTAAATCAGGCAAATCAAGTATTTGTCACTGTCCCATTAAAAAAAAAGACTGATGAACAAATAATTAGTCCCGGCACAGTCCAGAAATAGTGCACGAAATAAATGCATATGGCAGTTGCTGGAGACACCAAAGCCAATTGTCACTACCAGAAATGCAGTTTGTTGTTGATGGAAGTAGTTGGTCACAATAAGTGGGCTATATGCACACTTAACATTATTACATAAAGTATTGCGCCACCCCAAATGTATACCGGCTACTGACCATATTTAATATCAGGACTGAGCCATTGAACAAATAAAAGGCATTCCACATGAAAAATACAACTTAAAGCTTAGGCAGAAAATACTGTATGAAGCAAAAATTATTTTGAAGCTAAGCATTCTACCATGCCTAGTCGTCCATATTGGACCAGAAGTTTATATGTGGGCGTGTGTTCTGTAAGTGTGTGGGATATGTATAACTGTCTTCTAATTTGTATATTTTTGTGATCTGTAAATATATCTGTGATGTGTATGTATGTAATATTTAAATACATCTGTCTTATCTGTAATTGATGTAGTACTGACTCACAGAGCATGTTGAGAAAGGTGGAGACTGGTATGCTCCATGCAGAGTGGCAGGCATCATTTCAGAGGTCCTAGGTAGTTAGTATCCTTTGGATATTCTCTCTATGTGATGCCAGTGTATTGGGAAATGACCAGGCAGAAAGACTGGCCGGTTCTGCACCACTTGGTAGTGAATTGATGTATAACAAACTAGGCATTGTGAGGGCCCTCTGAGAGCGAGTGAACAGTGCAGAAGAGCAAATAGATCATTACAGGTCTGAGGAGAATGGCTCTACGAGTAGTCACCAGGGGATCTGGCCGACGCTCAACACGCAAGGGAAGGGCGAGATGGGTATACAGACAGACAGTTACTGGTGCCATTGGAAATGGAACTCTTTGTTTGCTGCTGAAGATGGGGACAGAGCGCTTATGGGAGTGTCCCAAGTGCTGTGATGTCAATTTTTAATTTAACATTCAACATTTCGTAGGCTTATTCACATTGTGTGGATGATCTGTAAGTGAAGTAAGCTCATTTATAGGCATGAGTACCAATATATTCTTCAAGTGAAGTCGGTTTATATGCTTGTAAATTTGCTGTATAATATGTAAATGATGTAAACTCATTTTCATGTGTGTTATGTAATATGTAAGTGAAGTGGGTGTTTTTTCATGTTTGTCATGTAATATGTATGTAAGTGAAGTATGTGCATGTAGATGGAAGCATGTTGTGTAATGTGTAAATAAAGTAGATATGTTTTACATGCATGTGTATTTGTCATCTTTAAGCAAAGTAGGTGTATTTATGTAATCTGTAAGGGATGTAGGCTCATTTATTTGTGTGTATGTTATGTTGTCTGTAAGTAAAGTAGGCATATAATTTACATCATAAGTGTCATGTAATCTATAAGTATCATAGGCTCATTTGCACTAATTGATGATGTGTGACATGTTTTAGTGGGTGTATATGTAATGTATATTACATTAATGTGTGACATGTTTCAGTTGTTTGTACATTACTGTGTGATATGTTTCAGTTGTATATTACATTAATGTGTGACATGTTTCAGTTGTTTGTACATTACTGTGTGACATGTTTCAGTTCAATATTACAGTACAGTATGAGATGTTTTTGGTATATATTACATTATTGTTTGACGTGTTTCTGTTGTATATTACATTAATGTGTGACATGTTTCTAATATACATTACATTTCTGTGTGAAATGTTGTAGTTGTGTATTATATTATTGTGTGACATGTTTCAGTTGAATATTACATTACAGTATGAGATGTTTTTGGAATATATTACATTATTGTGTGACGTGTTTCTGTTGTATATTACATTAATGTGTGACATGTTTCTAATATACATTACATTTCTGTGTGAAATGTTGCAGTTGTGTATTATATTATTGTGTAACATGTTTCTGTTGTGTATTACATTACAGTATGAGATGTTTTTGGTATATATTACATTATTGTGTGATGTGTTTCTGTTGTATATTACATTAATGTGTGACATGTTTCTAATATACATTACATTTCTGTGTGAAATGTTGCAGTTGTGTATTATATTATTGTATAACATGTTTGTGTTGTGTATTACATTACAGTAGGACTTGTTTTCGGTTGTATATTACATTACAGTGTTAAATATTTCAGTTGCGTATTACATTGCTGTGCGACATGCCCGTTCAAGTGGATGGGGAACCATGGATCCAACCTGCTGGACAGGTCATTGTGTTGAGGTCAGCACTCAAGGTCAGTCCCAGTTTTGTATTCATCACTGTGTTAGATGTCCTAACAGAAAGATCCTAGACGGTAGGCAGAGGATCATGCTAAAGTGAAAATAGCTACAGTACCGGACCAGCAAAAAGGGAAATCAGGGGTGGACTATTTTCTTCAAGACTCATGAATAGTCATAATAAAGCAGTGAGATGAATACCTTGATGGATGGGATAAGACAAGAGCACTGATCTGTGATTGTAGTGATTGTATGAAATAGCAAAACATAACCGCCTACATTTGTCAACAGGGCGTGAAGAAGAAGATTATGATACAAAAAACACTGGGGAGTCGAGTTTTGTTGGACAGGAGTGCAGGACAATTGTTTGGGAAGAAGAGCCTGAGAAGGATGGAACTGGACTCTGTTCTTCTTCCTGCTTAGCGTCATATATCTAAAGTGTTAAAACTTCATATTAAAATTGCTACAGGGCTGACTTTTTTCTTATTTTCTAAGAAGATTAAAGACTTGAAATTGTACTCAGGACATTCCCATAAGTGCTCAGGTCTCATCTTCAGCAGCTAGCACAGAGTTTCAGTTTGATGATACCAGTAGCAGTCTGGTTGTCTTTCCTCTGAAGGTAGAGTTTCAGCCAGATCTCTTGGTGACTCCATGCTGCACAATTCTCCTCATTTGGTGATGATCTATTTGTGCTTCTGCCCTGCTCACTTGCTCTAAAAGAAAGTTGCTAACATCTAGCTATCTAATGCAGTTGTCATGAGAAGCTGGATAGGTACACATTCTTTTTAAATAACAACTTCATGTTGTGGGTTTAAAGGCCTGATTGTGGGGGATAAACCCACTGCCTCTCTAACAAGCATGTCATAAGAGTAAACTAGTTAAGGATCTCAGGGGTTTCCTTCAGAGATGGAGAGCATCTGCCTGAGAAGTGAGGAAACAACAGTCTGCTTAGAAGATCTGAAAAACTGATGTGCATGTAACACTCAAGTTCTGGAACAAGACAACCGATAAACATGAAGAAGAAGATTAAATAATATCATTGGAGGTTGGTTTGTCTTAGAGATACAATGTCTACTTCTAATGTGTACAGAAATGACACTGTACCTTGAGTGAACAGTGTGTGTGTGTGTGTGTGTTTTTTTTTTTTCAAAATATACTTATCACCGATGCTAAGGTAGTAGATTGGTCATCTAACCATTTCAGATATTGGAGAGAAAATACGAGAACACTTGAACATTATGTAGAAAAACAGTCTGAATAGGCAACTGCCTAGACTCAAAAGTAGGGATGTATCATATCGGTATTGACTGAATAATTTATTCACATCATCATCATCATCACCAAAGCTGGAGCAATCTTTTTGCATAGCATCCCTCATAAATAATCCACAGAATATGCTCTCCCACTTTGACCATGTGTGCCAGGGAAAAAAAAAAACATGACATTTCTGATTGTGTCCAAAATATTTATTGCAATATGACTTCATGTTTCACTGCTCTAGCTCTTCATTTCTGCAGGCCACCATGTTAAAGAAAAGCAAAAGTAAGATCAAGAGAAGGAACACGGAACCCAGCATCTTCTTCCCAGAGAATGAACCCTTGCAAGCCTCCTCCCCTACAGAAGATTCTAGTGGGCCTCTTTAACTGGTAAGGGGTCAGATTCCTTTCTTTCTGAGCTGTTATCTTTGTTCAGAATAATGTCTTCCCATTGTACATTTCCATAATGTTGACACAAATACTACATTAGACATTTAATTGCCTGGCATATTGTGCTGTGTCTTGCCAGGTGTGTTGCTGCAGAGTTAAATTAACATTTATTGAAGCACAAGAGGGAATGATTTTGTATTACACTGAAAAGGTTTCATTTTTGTACCTAATTATATGTTGATTTAACTCTGTAGTGATTCACCTGACAAGGTACATAAAAATATACCAGGCAATCTGTGATTAGCCTTCTGTTCCAGGTTGGTGACTTCAGATGTTTGAAAGTCTGCCTGTATAGTGTCTCTCCACAATATTCATGGTCTGCCTCATGGTCTGCTCCCATTCTACTCTTTTGTATATGCATTTTCTATCTTTCTGTTAATGGTCATTCTCTCTAAGTGCCTGAATCATTGCAGTCTGTTCAACCCTCGCAATGCCAGTACTTGTATCTTTTATTTCTATATCTGGAAAATTAGTCAAATCTAGTACTTGGGTGCAAACTTCAACTGTTCCAACATGCTAATAGTAGAAATACAGTCTTACAATCTGGAAATAAAGTATACTATGCCCGTCAGCATCTCCTAAAATCAAAGTGTCTGTCTCTCAACACCAAGATCAAAATATATAAAACGTTGATAGGACCAGTCATTTTATGTGGTTCTGAAACTTGGAGCTCACCTAAAAGAGATGAAGGCTTATTACAGGTTTTTGAAAACAAGAGTTTTATGATGCATCTTTGGACCTATCAGATATGTAAACAGCGGAAATGGAGAGTGAGAAGCAACAATGAAATTCATAATCTGTTTAAATCACCAGTGGTCATTGGCATTATGAGAGCTAATAGGTTGAAATGGCCGGGACATATTGAGAGAATCTCAAATAACAGAGAGGTAAAAACTAATACACAAGGAAGATGAATGGTCATAGACCATGAGGCAGACAAAGAAGACGATGGAGAGATGAGTGGAGGTGGGTAATATCTCAGCAGTGTCACAGGGCTCAGAATGCTGAAGAAGAAGAAGAATGGGCTCAGATAAATAACACTATGGAACAGTGGTCCCAATTGCTAACAATTAAGGAACCCTTGTATTTTCAAAGGACTGTTACTGTTCCTATACTTTTTAGTAGTCAGATTATAACAGGTGAGAACATTATAGTTTATTAAAATTAGGATTGGAAAACTGTCGGCACTCTAAAGTTGACACCTGGGGGTCTGCAGCTTACTGAGTGGAAATCACTGCTAGAGGACCGCATGAGTTACGATAAACACTGGAATAGAATGGGTTAATGCAGACATCCTTTACATTACCTCACAGTCACCTAACTTATAAACACTCATGCATCCCACACCCCCAACTTATAAACACTCATGTATCCCCCACCCCCAACTTATAAACACTCATGCATCCCCCACCCCTTATAAACACTCAACACCCCCAACTTATAAACTCACTCATGCATCCCCACCCCCAACTACATCCCCCACCACCACCCAACTTATAAACACTCATGCATCCCCACCACCCCAACTTATAAAACTCACTCATGCATCCCACACCCACACCACCCCAACTTATAAACTCCACTCATGTATCCCCCACACCCCCCAACTTATAAACACTCATGCATCCCCCACCCCCCAACTTATAAACACTCATGCATCCCCACACCCCCTAACTTATAAACACTCATGCATCCCCCACACCCCCCAACTTATAAACACTCATGCATCCCACACCCCCAACTTTTAAACACTCATGCATCCCACACTAACTTATAAAACACTCATGCCCCCACCCCCCAACTTATAAACACTCATGCATCCCCACCCCCAACTTATAAACACTCATGCATCCCCACCCCCCAACTTATAAACACTCATGCATCCCCCCACCACCTAACTCCCACACCCCTATAAACACTCATGCATCCCCACCCCCCACTTATAAACACTCATGCATCCCACACCCCCCACTTATAAACACTCATGCATCCCCCACCCCCCAACATTATAAACACTTATGCATCCCACACCCCCATAAACACTATAATCCCCCACCAACTTATAAACATGCATCCCACACCCCCCCAACTTATAAACACTCATGCATCCCCCACCCCCAACTTATAAACACTCATGCATCCCCCCACCCCAACTTATAAACACTCATGCATCCCACAACTTATAAACCCCATGCATCCCCCACACCCCTAACTTATAAACACTCATGCATCCCCCACCCCCCAACTTATAAACACTCATGCATCCCCCACCCCCTAACTTATAAACACTCATAACATCCCCCCCCCACCCCAACTTATAAACACTCATGCATCCCCACCCCCCAACTTATAAACACTCATGCATCCCCCACCCCCAACTTATAAACCCACTCTTATAAACACTCATGCCCCCCACCCCCTAACTTATAAACACTCATACATCCCCCCCCCCAACTTATAAACACTCATGCATCCCCCACCCCCCACTTATAAACACTCATGCATCCCCCACCCCCTAACTTATAAACACTCATGCACCCCCAACTTATAAACCTCATACATCCCCCAACCCCAACTTATAAACACTCATGCATCCCCCACCCCCAACTTTATAAACACTCATGCATCCCCCACCCCCTAACTTATAAACACTCATGCATCCCCCACCCCCCAACTTATAAACACTCATGCATCCCCCACCCCCAACTTATAAACACTCATGCATCTCCCACCTCCTAACTTATAAACACTCATGCATCCCCCACCCCCAACTTATAAACACTCATGCATCCCCCACCCCCCACTTATAAACACTCATGCATCCCCCACCCCCCAACTTATAAACACTCATGCATCCCCCACCCCCTAACTTATAAACCACTCATGCATCCCACACCCCCTAACTTATAAACACTCATGCATCCCACACCCCCCAACTTATAAACACTCATACATCCCACACCCCCCAACTTATAAACACTCATGCATCCCCCACCCCCCAACTTATAAACACTCATGCATCCCACACCCCCCAACTTATAAACACTCATGCATCCCACACCCCCCAACTTATAAACACTCATGCATCCCCACCCCCCAACTTATAAACACTCATGCATCCCCCACCCCCAAACTTATAAACACTCATGCATCCCCCACCCCCAACTTATAAACACTCATGCATCCCCCACCCCCAACTTATAAACACTCATGCATCCCCCACCCCCCACCCCACCCCCAAACTTATAAACACTCATGCATCCCCCACCCCCAACTTATAAACACTCATGCATCCCCCACCCCCCAACTTATAAACACTCATGCATCCCCCACCAACTTATAAACACTCATGCATCCCCCACCCCCCAACTTATAAACACTCATGCATCCCCCACCCCCAACTTATAAACACTCATGCATCCCCCACCCCAACTTATAAACATCATAATCCATCCCCCACCCTTATAAACCCCCCCCAACTTATAAACACATCATCCCCCACCACCCCAACTTATAAACACTCATGCATCCCCCACCCCCTAACTTATAAACACTCATATACCCCCAACTTATAAACACTCATGCATCCCCCACCCCCAACTTATAAACACTCATGCATCCCCCACCCCCCAACTTATAAACACTCATGCATCCCCCACCCCCAACTTATAAACACTCATGCATCACCCACCCCCTAACTTATAAACACTCATGCATCCCCACCCCCCACCCCTAACTTATAACACTCATGCATCCCCCACCCCCAACTTATAAACACTCATGCATCCCCCACCCCTAACTTATAAACACTCATGCATCCCCCACCCCCTACTTATAAACACTCATGCATCCCCCACCCCTCATGCATAAATAAACACATGCACCCCCACCCTAAACTTATAAACACTCATGCATCCCCCCCCCCCCCACCCTACTTATAAACACTCATGCATCCCCCACCCCTAACTTATAAACACTCATGCATCCCCCACCACGCATCCCCCACCCCTAACTTATAAACACTCATGCATCCCCCACCCCAACTTATAAACACTCATGCATCCCCCACCCCTAACTTATAAACACTCATGCATCCCCCACCACCCAACTTATAAACACTCATGCATCCCCCACCCCCAACTTATAAACACTCATGCATCCCCCACCCCTAACTTATAAACACTCATGCATCCCCCACCCCCTAACTTGTAAACACTCATGCATCCCCCACCCCCCCAACTTATAAACACTCATGCATCCCCCACCACCCAACTTATAAACACTCATACATCCCCCACCCCCTAACTTGTAAACACTCATGCATCCCCCACCCCCTAAACTTATAAACACTCATACATCCCCCACCCCCTAACTTGTAAACACTCATGCACCCCACCACCCAACTTATAAACACTCATGCATCCCCCACCCCCAACTTATAAACACTCATGCATCCCCCACCACCCAACTTATAAACACTCATGCATCCCCACACCCCCTAACTTATAAACACTCATGCATCCCCCACCCCCCCAACTTATAAACACTCATGCATCCCCCACCCCCAACTTATAAACACTCATGCATCCCCCACCCCCCAACTTATAAACACTCATGCATCCCCCACCCCCCAACTTATAAACACTCATGCATCCCCCACCCCCTAACTTATAAACACTCATGCATCCCCCACCCCCCAACTTATAAACACTCATACATCCCACACCCCCCAACTTATAAACACTCTTGCATCACCCACCCCCACTTATAAACACTCCCCCCTAACTTATAAACACCCCCACCCCCCCATAAACACTCATGCATCCACACACCCCCCAACTTATAAACACTCATGCATCCCCCACACCCCCCCAACTTATAAACACTCATGCATCCCACACCCCCCAACTTAACTTAAACACTCATGCATCCCACAC